TCTCAATGAGGCCAGTGTGTCTGGGGCAGTTTTTCCTTAGCAGCAGAACTGTCTTAAGGTCTCTCAGTACCTTGTACCATGGACTGGACCTGTCTTTCCACAGAGTTAATTTAATTTGGGTGTGGCCATCCATCTGGACATGCTCTCTCTCTTGCCTTCGTGCAAAGCAGGGAGTGATGGTTTGCAATATGAGTGAGACTGGCTTTGCAGCTTCAGGACAAAGCATGTGGGGCTGCACACTCTGACTCTTCCAGCTGAGCTCCTCTAGGTTGCACATCTTGTTTGCAGAAGAGGCCTCAGTTAGGAGGAATGCATCAAAGAGAAAAGATCTGTGTGGTGAGGGAAACTGTGGGTTATAGTATCAGTCAGCTTGGCATTGTGTCTGCTGTTGGACCCACAGCTGATTGGTATCTCTTGGTAGTAGTTTGGCCCAAGTTTGAGCTGATGATTATGAATGCAATGTGTGAAATGACAGCTAAGCCTCGGCTCAGCAGGAGATCAGTGAGGATGGCCACAAGTTGGAGCACCAGCTTGCACTGCGCACACTAACTGAGATTATTTTAACTACAGGGGTTGGCTGCAAAATAATAATAAATAAAAAAGTGCATGTCTCTCTCTGTGTACTTTCTGCACAATCTATCTGCTGGAATGCTTCCTTGGTTCTGAAAATTTCCATAAAGGAGCATGCACAGGAAAATCCTGCCAACCACATGCTAACTGGATGGACTGCCATGTGTCCTGGGGCAGGGGAGGAAGGAAAGAAGGCACGCTTGGACAAGCAGCCTGGCTGAGGGACATAATGACACTTCAGTTTCTGCATTCTGCAAAATGTCCTGCCAGCTACAGTCACAAGTGCTGATGGGAAGGAGATTTGGTTTTGTTCCAGTTAAAATGGCAATTGGTAACTTAGTCTGAGATACAGGTGAGATGGGTGCTGAGAATTATGGTCTCCTCCATCTGCTCTACCCCAAGCGAGGGGATGATTGCCTCAATCCGGTATCGCCTGACTTCACATGCATTGGCTTTGTGCCTCACGCTATAGCTGCACCGGATTGAAAGCCTCAGAGGTCAGTGACATACAAGAAACCAGAAAGAGCAGGGTTGCTCACCCCCTCCTGAGCCAGCCCGCTAATCACAGGGTGATTAGCACCATGGAGTGAATCAGCTCAGCTGTCTGAGCAGGGGTGGCGGTGGCGGTGGCGGTGGCGGTGGCGGGCACAGCTGTGCCGCACATCTGGCTCGGCTGCCCGGGGCGTGCCCAGCCCTGCCCCGCTGCCCTGCGCTCTCCCCAGGGCCGCCAAGGCACGCGAGTCCGCTTTGCTGCGATAGCCAGGCTAATCAGGGTTGGTGGCAAGTGCCTGGAGGGAGCTAGGGTCATTGTAGTGGCTGCTGAATTTGTCAGGAAGGGCCTCTGGGTGCCACCAGGATGAGAGAGATTTACTTCTTCCCAACCACGAAAGACTTGAACTTGACTTCAGAACCAATTGCGACTTTGCTCAGCCCTGTGATTCCTTCTGACGGGCACTTCTGGGCACTTCTCTCACCTTCCCACCGTTTCTCATCCCTGTGACATACTTCCCCCCATCTCCTGCTGTGTTCGGGTGGTGAACACCCCTGAGGCTTTGCTCCTGAGGGGTATCTTACCATAAGCAGCCCTCGTTCGAGGTACCATCCAGCATCCTTCTCTGCCCCTAGCAGAGCAGCAGGAAACCATTATGTGAGCATTGTTGTCTTCCTTGGATGCCCACAGACAAGGCCATTTCATTTCCTCCCTTCCCCTGGTCTCCTGGTCAGAGTGAGAGGAGAAAAGGCCTTTCTGAGCCCACACCTGGCACTCATGAATATTTAACATTTCCAGCTTTTATTTTCCTTGAAGAGCAAAACCTTTTCATATTTGATGCCCTGGAAGGCTGTTTGGTTGCTGAATGTTGTTTCATCAATGCTCTCTCTCCTCGCTTTTCCTCCAGACTGCCCAGCCTCTCTTCGCTTCTCTTCTTGAGCAGCATTTCCTTTTTTACAAAGGATGTTTCAGAAAAGGTCACTGTCCCTTTCATATCCCCTCCTTACTGTGAGCCAGCATGGCTTCTGCTCTGCCAGTGGTAAAGGACAAATGGGGACGTGGGGAAAGGCAGCAGTGGGGAGGGAGGCGAGGAAAAGTGTGCACATACGCTGAGGAGTGGCACAGAGGCAGAGAGGAGTTGTGGGCAGAGCAAGGGAAAAGTGGCCGAGCAGCAGGCAGAGGCAGCAGAAGATGGGAAGGAGGGAACAGCAGGATTTTGTTGAAGAACTGGCTTTCCAGCACCTCTCTTTTTGACATTCAAGATGCACAGGTGTTGCTCTGGATGGCAACTTGTCCAGTCAAGGCCCCTTGCAAAATGGAAGTTTTCCAGTTCCCCAAAACAGAATATTACTTAAGCTGCATGTCCCATTTCCACACCCGGGCAGGTGCTTTAGAGACCTCATTATTTTGGCTACCAGCTTTTACAGTAAATCATCACCTGTTGTCCTTAGGCTTTTCAGCCTTTCTCCCTCTTTCTCCTGCAATTGGAACTGATGTTTGAACATTTGGATGGGTGTAGATTCAGTGTTACTGTTTTTGAGGGCCCAATCTCATATCCACAGTCAGCATCAATGGGAAGAGAAAGATGAATCTGTCTAACTGTGAAATTCAAAAGAAAAAAAAGTTTCATTTGGACTTAGAACCTGTTATTGCTGAATTTTTTTGTGATGTGGATAAGATGCCAGGTGGTGGGGGAAACTTGCCAGTTCTTGTGTCATGGCACCACGTACCCCAGAGGGCCTAACATGAGGGCAATAGCTACAATCTTGGAGCTGTGGAGAGCATATTCTTGTACCATCAGTAATTCCTCTGAGAGTCAGGATGGAGAACGTATGGGCAGGCAGGGTGTTTCCAACAAAAAGGCAGACAAGTTTTGCTCATCACTTGCTTTCTCTTGGAACACAGACAAAATCAATTTTTGCAAATTCTGACCCAACAAGCATGCTGTCTGTAAAATTCTGGTGGGAATGTCTGTTTTGTCTGTTCTGCATTTCAACGTAAGGGCAGCCTCATCTCTCCCATTACTCAGCTCTGAAATGGAGCTAGCATCAATTGATCTGAAAAACATCACCCCCTCTTGCAGCATTACTGGCACAGCTTCCTGTGTCACTTGGCTCTCCCCAGTGTACTAACCAGGACAGTTAATGGGAGCTACTGAGCTCGTTCTGTGACACGACATTAATGCTGGGAACATGCAGCACTACAGGGAGGATCCACGGTCTTGAAGTCCCAGTGCTGTTCAGAGCATTTCTCCAGGGCCCAGCAGGTCACAGTGGCTGTGCTATTGGGCTTGTGTGCTGAGAGGTCAGAGAGCTGTCAGTGACTCAGGGCATGGCTGTGATCCCCAGCGAGTGGCTGGAGCTGTGTCCCTGCACTGCTGTGTTGCTGATGTACTCGTCTAGAAGCTGCTTTACGTGGTGACTGGTGACACAGCTGGACAGTCAGGCAGCAGGGCTTAACTACTGCTCCACAGCCTGGTCTTAGAGCTAGTGCCATCATCCCTTATCCTTCATGATCCCATGTAAGCACCAGTAAGCATCTTCTCCTTCCTGCACATCACGTAAGTATCACTCCTGTCTCTTCCACCCTGCTCTGTCTCCAAAGCATTCTCCACTAATCTAAGCCAGTCTTCTGTGCCACAGCAGGCACACTTCTCCCTCTTCCTTCAGTGTTTGTGAATTCCATGCCTGCCTGCCCCACCACAGGTGCCTCTTCCCTCCCCTCTCTGTGGGGTGAGCAGTCTGGGGAATAGACGTGGAGCATTATATAGAGTAGTGTGTAGCAATTACTTGGTGCTGGGTACACAAGGGGGATTATCTTGTGCCTCAAAGGGCTGTCAGAGAATCCTAATCTTATATTCCCCTTCTCTTTCCCCTTCCACTGCCATCTGAAGTAATGAATTGGTTATAAATACCTAATTAGCTAATTATTTATTGGCCTACATGGAACAACTTCAGTGAAGGAACTCTCTGGATACCTGGGGGAGGAACCTCCTTGGAGACAAGGAGAGACAACTTTGAGAGGTGTGCACAGGGATAAAGGCAGTACTGTGATGCTCAGAAGAGTTTCCAGACTTTCACTGTCCCTGGAGAGCAGAGGAAAAGCCATTAGCTCCATGGAGAAACGAGACTATGTTTACCCCTACTAGTGGCTGTGAGCTAAAGAGCCAAGGGGAAAATAAAACCACAGGAATAATTTATTGGGTAATTAGAGAGTAAAAAATATTTTTTTTTTAAACATTTGCACTGGGCAGAGATTCTGTGCTGGAAGCACTTTGGGCTGTGCCTGCTACTTGTGTGCTCCAGCCCCATTGGGACATGAGGACTAGCCAGGGGAGGAAATTGTGGTTTTCATGACTGTCTCTTGATGATACTGTCACTGAAGAAAACCCAATTATCTACGCCAATTTATATGTTCTGGAAAGGTTCGTCCCACTGGCAGGCTGGCCTTGGACTATCCATGCAGGTCTCACAGGCTGCAGTATGCAGTTGCTGTACCAGGATGACTTTCAGTCCAAGGCATTGGATAATGGGGCTGTAGAGTGGACATGCCCCTTTGGGACAGTTATCACTCTGTTGTCCTTCTGCAGGGAAAGGGGAGGGAGGGATGTCAGTCACATAGCTGATGGCACCAAAAGTCTCATTCTCTTTTCTTCTCTGCTGCAGATGGAGGCCTAAGGTTAAGAGATCACAGCATCACAGCAGCTCTGCTGGCTGCCTGTCAGTAGAGGTTAGGACAGAAAAGGGCAATAACCATAAGTCTGGCCTGGTTTGGACAGTAGTTAATTTCTGACACTCTGCTTTTATTTTCATGGGGATTTTTTCTTTTTTTATGCTTATCTTGTAAACTTCATTCCTTTTCTTCTCCTTCCCTTCCTCTCTCCCTTTCTCTATCCCTTTATCCCACACCTGCTCCTTCTGGTTCTCTCCTCCTTCTGCAGGCATGCGCATCCTTGTGAACCTGCTCCTGGACACCTTGCCCATGCTGGGGAACGTCCTTCTTCTCTGCTTCTTTGTCTTCTTCATCTTTGGCATCATTGGGGTGCAGCTGTGGGCTGGGCTGCTCCGCAACCGCTGCTTCATGGAGGAGAACTTCACAGTGTGAGTGACTGGGAGACAACATCTCCTTCCTTTCTTCCATGGACGTTTCTCTTTCCCTCTGCCTGCTCATGTCTTCTGCCAGGCTCTCTGTGTATCACTAACTCCAAGTGTAGGGTGATAGTGTGAGGGTATTGGGCACATCTTGCAGTGGAAAGGGAGGGTGGGCAAAGGCTGTTGTTTTCTTCTGTCTCCACAGCAGGTGTCTGGCTCATTTGGATTTGATCAAGGCACAGGTTAGCATGACTGCCCTTCCCAGCCATGCCCAATGCTCCTACACCCAGAAAGAACTGAAACTCAGAAACATGCTGTTTTTCTGAACCTGCTCCCTCTTCAGAAAACAACACTCATAGGAGTCCTACAGAAAGCCTATTAGTGCTGCCTAATGCATCCAGGAACACCTTTGGCACCTCCAAAATGGAGCTGGGGTCACTGTTTCGACACTAGTGCATTATCTTTGGAAGGACGCTGAGAAATTACTAGGAAACTTCAGGAGCAGAATTGGATGTGGCCAGTGCCATGGGGAAGGGACAGAGGGCTGGTGGGAGAGATGTCCCACAGCTGGATTAATAGATGGGACAGCATCTGAAATCAAAGTATGAATATTTGAATGGGACAAAAAACCTGTGGGGAAACATGGGAACAGTTCTGGCAAAGAGAGCCTGAAGCCACTGAGGCATCAATTACAGGTTTATTTGGGGGTTCCAGGGTGAGTCTGCAAGAGCACAGCTTTACTTCTCCCACAGGCAGTGGGGTGGAAAAGCTCCTGCTTGCCATGAATTCTCCGATTACCCAGTTTCAGGGCTGTTGACTTTCTGGCTTTAGTAGATCTCAGGCTTTAAAATGTTTTCTTAAAACCGTATGCTAATCCCAGGTGTGCTATCAATGTAGACTGCTTAAAGAAAACCTAGAGCTGTAGATCAGTTTAAACTGATTAAACAGTTCTGAAGCTTTAGAGCATCTCAAATTGGAAAAAAAAAGGGTGAAAATACAATGTGCAGAACAGAAGTGGAGTTGCAGAGTAGGAGCTGCTTAAAGCAGGCATTTCCTGTGTTTATTTATTCCTTGGGGAAAAAGTAATGTTTAGGATGATTGTCTTTTATGTAAATCAGAAGTAGCACTTCTTTAATGAGTGTAATTACATCCATGCAGAGTTGATGTAACTGGGAAGTGAATTAAGGCCACAGCCTTCACAGTGATAGATATTAGAAAATATTTGGTTCACCATTACTAGGGAAATCAGTTCTGAAGGTGCCCATGTACCAATGATGAGGATGAGTTACAACACACCTTTGTAGTTTAGTCCTGTTTAGTTAACAATCAGAAACTTTTTCTTTTTCATCAACACCTGTCCTCTTCCAATGACACTTAGTGAAAAAGTCTGTATTTGCACAACGTGAAGGTTGTGCATTGTAGCACTGCAAGGAATACACCAGATAAAGTTTAATATTTTTTTTTTTTTAATCTCCACCTTACACTTTTCTGATATTAGCTCATCTCCAACTAGGCAAGCATAGATGATTTTAATTATTCATGCATTTGGAAGGTGCTTGCATTATTTGGAAAAAAGACATGAACTTGTCATAAAACATTGCACCCATAATGCCAGCTGTCAAGGAGGAGTCAAAGTTAAGGTTAAGTCAATTTTATCTTTCCATTTCCGAATTTTAAGGCTTATCTCTGCAATGTTAATTATGCATGAACTGGATTTTTTTTTAGAAGTACAGAAGGTTCACTACCAAATGTTATAAAACATGTCCATCAGCAGTTACATATATGAACATATTACAGTAAAGCCTGATGAACTTCCTTAATGTCATTGCATCTGATTTAGCTTTGATGTTAATGGGGAGAGTGTTCAGACTGCAAATCTCGGCATTCCATCTTTTTTTTAATCTCCATGAACGCAGATTGTGTAATTTGGCTTGGGGTGATCTGATGGCAGGAAAAGCTCTGAAAGCTGGGGGCTCACCCTAGAAATTTGCTGTTTTTCAGGAGCCCTGTCATTCCTCCCCTTCTTCTGAGGCAATAAAGCTGGAAATCCCCTACCCAGTGCAGTCCCTGTGTCAGAATGGGGGCTCCCAGCTCCACCAGTATCACTGATAGATAGGAAACTCCTTGTCACAGGAAATTTGACTGTGGGTTCTTTTGCAGACAAGGTGACATTGTCCTGCCCCCTTATTACCAGCCAGAGGAAGATGATGAGATGCCCTTTATCTGCTCGCTGTCAGGAGACAATGGAATTATGGGCTGTCACGAAATACCCCCACTGAAGGAGCGAGGCCATGAGTGTTGTTTGGACAAGGATGATTATTATTATTACAATTCAGTCCGGCAAGAGTTCAATATCAGTGGCATGTGTGTGAACTGGAACCAGTACTACAACGTGTGCCGCACCGGCAACGCCAACCCGCACAAGGGTGCCATCAACTTTGACAACATTGGCTATGCCTGGATTGTGATATTTCAGGTAACTCTGAGTTAGCCTCCTTACAAGGCTCAACCTTATTTTCTGTTTTTCAAACTCAGTCTTTCTGGGCTGCAGTGGCAGTTTTTCCAGGGCATGACAAAGATGCAAAGTAAAGGGCCTTGTGACTCCCTGGGTAAGGGAGGCAGCGCACACATGAACGCACTTGCTGAAATAAGCTCCACTCTTCAGGCTGACTGGTAACAGTTTCCCCTCCAGTCCAGATACCTATAGTAAAGGAATCTTTTTCTTTTTTTTTAATTCCCAGCACATGTTGCAGATGGGACCTAAAATCCGTGCCTTTTTTCTTTTCCTCCCGCTGTACGCGGTGTCCAGTCCAAGGGGCACAGCAACCTGCTGTGGGTTTTCCCCTGCTGCGATCCAGGGAAATGAACTATATTAATGAAATATTCCTGCTGTGGACTAGAATGATCTCACAGGCTTTGACAGTATGCCAGTGTCACCAAGCAGTACCATGCTGATTTCCCGAAATGGAAATTTGGCTTCATTGAAATGAATTGTTGTTTCTCACCTTTCTTGGGTTGCAACCATCCTGCCAGTATCTGCTTGTTATACACTGAGGAGTGAACTCTGGAATACTCTTCCTGTTTCTCTTTGTCTTTGCAGGTGATCACACTGGAAGGGTGGGTAGAGATCATGTACTATGTGATGGATGCCCATTCCTTCTACAATTTTATCTACTTTATCTTGTTGATAATCGTAAGTATAAGGTTTGATGAATGTCAGCAATGCAAGCTAAGCCAACAAAAGACAGGTCTCAGATCAACATAGATACTGGGGAAGAAAACCTCTAGGAATCTCAGAAATCCGGCTAGTTGATTTTCACCAAGAGTCTGAAGCAGGATCACGTATATAGTTGGCAGCCAGGTTATTAGCTTTCACTCTAAAATCTACTTAAGATTGATTTTTAAAGTTATATGTGCCTAGTGTAGAATAATGTTCTCACTGGCGGATTTTCTTGCAAAGAAAATTCCCCATACCAGTTGGCTTAAAAGCCTGTTCTTTCTCTGCCCTTCTACTTGGTCTCTATATATTTTTTTTTGACTAATTTTTGAGCCACATTGAGTGAGGAGCTTTTGGCAGCACCTGGGTTTGTCAGGTTCAGAGTCTCAGATTCACATTTTGTTAGGTTCAGGGTCTGTCACGCTGAATTACTTCCTCACCATGAATGAAAAGGAGCAACTGCTCCTAAAGTGTCAGCAGTCCAAAATAATCTGGCTGTGTGAGATCCCTTGTGGATGGTAAGATGGAAAGAGAGAAGCGTGTCAGCAACGAGAACTTAATAAGCAGTTTATAAACCCTGTGGATTTATACAAATGAAGTTTGAAGGTTGGTTTTCTGCAAGGATATTCATTATCAGCACCTGGGATGAAAGCTGAGAAACATGGTGCCATTGCCTCCCCGTTCCTCAGGCTTCCGTTGCATAAGTGCATGTTCTTGGCATTTCTTCTAAACAGGAAGGATTTTGTTTTTATGAAGGCTCTTGCACATTGCTCACCTGGGGATCCAAAGTCAAGAGTGAAATGGAAAGACATAGGATGAGTTATGGGAAGTATAAAATCTGTACGTGGTAGATGCAATTTAGTTTCAGGTCACTGAGTAAGGACCTCAGTGTGTATTTCCAAGACCTACATGCATTTGGATGGGCTGATGAATGGACCTTGGCCAGGACTCTGATCCTCATCTAACACTTGTCCTATGGGGCCATGCCCTTCAAGAAATAGGATCTCTAGAAGCAGTCACCCAGTAACAGTAACACACTGACCTATGACAGGATGTAGTTTAAATTCAAGTTGGCATGCAATGACTTGAGATAAGACTTAAATCCATTTCTGTGAGAAATTCTGCAGCCTGTACATATGGAGGGTGGCCCAAAAAGCCCACAAACCTATTGGCCCATTCAGGTCAGGCACCTTAATAAAATCTTACTATATCCTTGATTTCACCCTGCCTTATGGCCTTCCATTCTCACAAGGGAAAGACAAGGAGAGAAAAACAGAAATATGAAGTACTCCCTGTGGGCTGAAGCATAAACCTGGGCAGCAGAAGTGAAATATACCTTAAGGAATGTTGCTTTTACTTTGATGCTGGAGAGTCCCAAAGAGACAGCACAGAGATGTGATTGCACAGGATGGGGTGACGGAGAGGGAGTTTCCACAGGCTCTGTTCTCAGGGGCAAGCTGAACATCCACTGCTTTTTGTGTGTTCAGAAAATAATAATTTCCCATGAATTTTGTTCATATACCCCACAGTGCAATAGATATTGAGTATCCACCTGCATTTTGACTCTGAGCAGCATGGTTAGGATACCCCAATTTATAGAATATGCAGTTAGACAAAGACTTTACTCCTTGTCCTACAGCCCCAGTCTCTCCCAGAGCCAGGAAGGGTCAGTGTTTAATCACTGGGGTACTTATACCTGGTCTTTTGTAGGCCAGTTCCAGAAACTGTCCTTCCCCCCACATTTCAAACTACATAAATTCTGTCAGCATATTTTTGGTTTCTAAGTATCCTTCTACTGCTGGCTCACGTCATGTGGATTCACAGTGATTCAAACTTTGTCTCTGAATTTGCAGGCACCGAAAACCCTCAATTAAACACTCCACCTGAGATGTTACTGCAGAGTGTCATTGACATTTCTAGACACTCCCTCCTCATTTGCAGAAGCCATATAGGTTTATTTCTGTCAAACAGGAGAACATGAATTTCAGGTTACTTTGGGGACTGCTGAGAACAAAGGAGTCATATGCTAGATGAAATATTTTCTTTACCTTTGGTGGAGTTTGGCCAAGGAAGTATTTAGCCTTTCTGCTACCTTCTTGGAGTGTGATGCATCTTTTGCTGCACATAGCGACACCACGGAGAAAACTTGCTATCATTTGGCTGCATTTTCTGTCTGAAACTTCATATAGAAATGACCCCTCTGTAAGTCTCATGAAGTATGGTTCTTCCAGCCTTATCCTCCCCTCCTTCTCCATGGTTGGAAGGTCGGGCTTTCTAAGTAGGATTGTTCTGACAGTCATACTTAAGCCCTGACTCTGGTTTTCCAGACACATTCTAACCTTGGCTCAGACCTACTCTTCTGGGGCTGGATCTCTGCAGCTTCTCTAGAGCTGTGCTTTCATCCATGACTGCTTTCCTACACTGGTATCTGCAAACACCTACATAAGGACATTACCTGCTACTGCTCATATGTCAGGAAGAAGGCTCCACCACCTGGATATACTCCCAGCACAGTTAGAAATCCTGCATAGATGTGCTTCTCTGAGAGGAAGGGTGCTGACTGACCGTGGAACTCTGAGTGGCCTTGTAGAATCTGGGAAAAGCATTTTATGTGTTCAGCAGATTTTAAAATGTTTCCCCCTTGACCAGAGATCACAGATGTGATATGAAGGAAGGACTGCTCCCTGTTCTTAATGTCAGTCTTACACTTGGGTTTTCCTGCTTGAGGTCCAGCTGTCTCTTTGACATCTCTGCAGCTACTCGGCCACTGCTGTGGCTCCTGGACTACAGCAAGCTCTTCTGGGATCTTAGACTGGCATCGGCATTGCAGCACTCCGAGGCTCCTTGAAGCACCCTGTGCTTACACATGTGGGCCTTGGAAGGCAAGCTGGATATCCAGGCATAAGCAGTAGAAGTAGCTGACAAGTCAGGATCTGCAGCACTGTTTAGTTAAGTCAGAGTATGTTAGATATTGCAGAGATAGGGCTTGAACCTTGGGCTGAGTGAGGCCAGGATCTGCTTTATCAAAGCACAGCTCAGTCTCAGGGCTGAACGGGACCCTGTGTTGGGACTTGGAATCAAGGGTCTCCATCTGCTTCTCTCAAATGCTTGGACTCCATGTCTGACACTCTCTGTCTCTGCTCAGCCAGCTGAGATGAATCACTCAATTAGGAGCCTTCTGGGACCCTTCCTGTCCTCCTAGCTGGGAGGCAGCTTCAAGCTCAGCAGAGCCTGAGAGTTTATGGGCTTGCCTGTGGTTTTAAGGATTAACCAAACTAATTTGCTTTGTGTTTGATGTTCCTAGCTAAAAGGATAAGGACTGGGGAGTAGTTGCCATATCCAGTCCTCTCACTCCCCGACTTTTTCTTCACCTGGTGGGAGATGGCAGCAAATGGTGCCTGTGAGGACAGGGCTCAGTGATGTGAACCTGAACCCCGCTCCAGATTCAACCCTAGGCCGACAGTGCAGTCCTGGTGAGGGCATCTTAGCCCTCACCTCTTCCTCTTGTGGCCTAGAGAGAAGGTGTTGCAAGCCCTCATGTCTTGTTTGGGAGTTGTGGGAAGATGCAAAGTACGGGGTGGTGTCACAAGTAGTGTTCCAGAAAAGCTCACGCCACTGCTGTCCATCCCCCTGCCCTGCCTCTCTCATCCCAGCTGAGGGACATAACCAAAAGGGAAAGCCTGGGCAAGTATCATGCTGCTGAGGAGAATGCATTGGAGAAGACTTTGGATTCCCAGTAATACTCTCATCAGTTAAAATAAAACATGCAAGACATCACAGACTAGGGAAAATGTTGGGTGAAGGCAAAGGAATCTGAACAAGGCATTATTTTAATTTTCAAGGCCACATGCAGAATCTGAAGGGAAAATAGGCTGAAATATGGGGGAAGGAGAGAGAAGAGAAGGGTTCAGTGATGAAGGGAAACAGAATTAGAACAGCTTTGAAGGGTGCTGAGAGGAGGAGGGGGAGAAAAAAAAAGCCCTTTATTTTGAGACACTTCATTGTCCTTATGTTGAATCTGGTTGGAAAGAGCTTCATGTTTCAAAGGGTTATTGAGATGCTAGCAGAGACACCTCCCCTTTGGATAAAGAGCACCTGTGTGCAAGAGAAAGGGTAACCCAAAAGGGCAAGCTGGTCAGGGGGGCAGTAAGGGCTTTGAACTGAGGGAAAACTGCTTGGATAGGTAAAGCAAGCTCTATTTTTTGCTGAATTAAACCCTTTTTCCATTCACAAGCACTGGGGTCAGGCTATCACCACCTTTGCCTGCTCTGTCCCCTTTGCTGGAAAGGCTTTACAGGAGAGGAGACATGTGAAGACAAGGGCAGGACTGAATCCTCTCCGTCAGAGCTGTTTGCTTGCAAAGGAGAGACAGTGAGGTGAGACTGGGTCCTGTGTGGGTTCATACAGGAGAAACTGCTGCCAGGATGCCCCTTTGCAGGGATGCTCACTGGTCCAGGGACAGCAGAAATCTTGAGCTGGTGCTTCATCTCCTCCCAGGGGCTGCCCCAGAGTCTGTTTCAGAGCACTGCAGATGTATAGTCCTTGTTCAGAGTTCAGGCTCTGCATTTTATCAATGCCCTATTGATATAGCCCTGCAGGGAGTAGGCACCAATCAAGGTGCCATAGCTTTTGAAAATTATTTTGAATGAAGTTACCAGCCCTTTTATGTATGAAATTCTCATCATATTGAAGCTCGGGATTTATCTTCTATCTATCTATCTATCTATGGCTAGATCTCCTAGTGGAAATTAATCTCTAATTTCATGATATGTAACACAGAGTGAGTTTATTTTGCCTCCAGAACTTTCAGCACAAAGAAATCCTTGCTCCATTTTACAAATAGGAAAACTGAGGTTTAAAGGGAATGTGCAAGTTTTAAATTAAGCCTGGTAAGCATTTGGGCTTCTGTATGTAGAACAAGGAGAACTTGGGCATTTTGTTTGCTCTTTCTAAGAAATTTGGAGTGTGTTTTTTACAGTTTTAGTGTTTGAAATGAGAAGCCTATGTAGGCCAGAGGACAAGTTAAGAAAGAGCTAATACGATGTCTTGTATCAGAAGAATAGAAAATAAGCAAGGAAGCATGGCTTTACCAGACTACTATGTGTCCTTCTAAAAGTTGTTTGACTTTGTAAAACCCTTTTTGACTTCATAAGCTCACTCATTTCAGGAAACTCCCATCTCCCTATATGGAGAATTAAGGTGCAAATGATAGAAATCAATTATATGCCCCAAGTATACTGGTATGTCATTAAAATGAGAATACTGACATTTCTTCAAGAGGTGAAGACTATAAATGGCAGTGCATGATTTTTCCAGTGGTAAATTAATAAGCAGAGGATAAATCAACCAAACTGGTTCTCTGTCTCCTATCTTCTATTTAACACAAAGAAGGGGAAAAAAAGTTTGGTTTTCATCAAACCCTTTGTATGTAACTTATAAGTGATTTTCTAAGGGTCCCAAAACCTGCCACAAGTTGGACCTGTTTCCAGAATTTCAGTGCGTAGCTTTAAATTCTGCGTGGAAATTATGTTGAGAGAGTTCTCAAAACCAAGCTCATGCACTCCTGGCTTGCTCTGAAACTTCTTCTCCATATGCAGACTGATTCTCACCCCTCTGTCTGCCTTCTCTCTCCTCTTCCCACTCCCACATGTTTCTTTTCATGCTGATGTTGGTCCCTTCCTCTGCTTTGCTGCTAGGTGGGCTCCTTCTTCATGATCAACCTGTGCCTGGTGGTCATCGCCACGCAGTTCTCGGAGACCAAGCAGCGGGAGCACCAGCTGATGCAGGAGCAGAGGGCCCGCTACCTCTCCTCCAGCACTGTCGCCAGCTACATGGAGCCGGGAGACTGCTACGAGGAGATCTTCCAGTACGTCTGCCACATCCTGCGCAAGGCCAAGCGCCGCACCCTGGGGCTGTACAACAGCGTGCAGAGCTGGCGCCACGGCCACGTGCAGGAGCCCGGCAAGGCCAAACCCAGCGGGAACAGGAAAAGCCAGAGGCACTACAGTAAGGATTGCATGGGAAAAGCTGGAAATGCCAGTGGCAGAAATGTGAGAGTAACTGGGAGCGTCTCCATGTGCCAGCTTTCCAAGGGACCTGTGCCTATAAAGCACAGAACTAGAATTAACATTGACCACTGAGCAAGGCACTGAGCAAGCATGGCCAACATACCAGACCAGCAAGGTGGGGGTGACCAGCAAGAATGGGAATGAAACAGGGCTGGCCTACAGGAAACGTGGATAATCCAGATCTGAAATCCAGACACCATAAAGAGATAAAGACACTGAGGCTTGTAAAGGTCTCCATGTCTCTGGTATAGCCGGGTGTTGATAGCAGTTTGGGAGAGAGAAGAATTAGGGGACATAACAAAGTAGGGCAAAGGATTGGACCTGGTGGCACAGCAGGACCCCCAGAGCTCTAGTCCCAAAGCGAGTTGTTTCCAGACCTCAAGAGCAAGACAAAGAGAGTTGAATTGCATAAGGTGTTGCCTGAACCTAAGGAGTCTGGTTGATATGCAAGGACAACGGAGACAATTTCTCTTGACTGCAGCACATGCTGTTGCGTAAAATTAGACATAAGATATCATTTAAATTGGGTTCCTGGCTGGAAAAGTCACTGTAAAAATGGTTTTATAGAGTTAGTATTAACTGCCTGCTGATGCCTTTCCTAAGTTATGCTCCCATTAACAAGCAAAAAGGCAGATTTTCCTTCAACGTGTTTTGCATACTCAAACTTTCATTTTCTTTACTTGCTGGGAGAAGTGTTTCTGCAGGCTTCATGCACTGTGTTAATGAATTAATTGCTTCATTTCCCCCAGTGTCCATTTGATCTTCCAGGCCAAAATGGAGGATCAAGGAACACAAATTTAGATTTCTCACTGAAGCCAGGGGATCTCTTCTGATTCATAGTGCATGCTGTCAGGAGGAAGCATTCCTGTGTTACCTCTTCTGGCTTCTTGAGATGCTTTGCTGATGTAGTTTCTCTAATTTAGAGAGTCCAGTTCAGCCTGGGGTTCTCAGACCCTGCTTGTAGCAATTCAGGCCAAAACCAGCTCTCATGACCATTTTTCCCCTCAGGCTCCACTTAACACAAGCTAGTGAGTCTCAGGCTATGATTTCTGCATGAGACAAAGCAGTTCTTTCTCTGATGGATGTGAACTCTGTTCAGCCTAATCACAGGCAAGCTGAACAGTACCATGTGTTTTGGAGACACAGCCTGTCAGCATGGAGCCCCCAATGGCAACGGCTTCTATCGCTGCCCTTGAGATGATGTGTCAGTGTCTAATCATCCTCACAGCTAAAAAGACCAGTTACTCTGTCTAAATACCCAGAAGCCAAACAGGTGTCCACATTGAATGTCTTTTTTCATATCCTCCTTCTTTAAGCAGCACCATTTCTCTTTCCAGGGCTTTGCCAGCAGCACAACTCTCTTGGCTGCCCTCCTCAGGGCTTAGTCCAGCCCATCGCTGTGACAGCAACCTCTGATCCCACCAACTGCCCACGATGCCATAGGGCAGAACATGAAGCATCCAGAAGGCTCTCAGTCCTGGATAGTGCTGGCTCAGACCAGGAGGATGGAGGAGCCAGTGAAGGGGAGGGAGAGGGCAGCCAAGAGGACCAGGGTGCCTCGGCGCTGGAGAAGGAGGAGGAGGTGGAAGAAGGAGGCCGGCTGAAGCTCTGCAGTGACATGTGGCGAGAAGTGAGGGTCAAGCTTCGAGTTATTGTGGACAGCAAGTATTTCAACCGGGGGATCATGATTGCAATCCTAGTGAACACCATCAGCATGGGCATTGAGCACCACGAACAGGTAAAGCACCTTAGGGCACGAGGTGGGCAGCATGGGCTGCTGAGTCCTACTGGGGGTTATGGCCTTGCTAAGCAGCTGATGCAACTTGGTGGAGGCAGAGACTGAGCAATTTGGACCTCAGACTGCAGCACAGATGGTCCCAGCATGACTTTGGAGAAAGCCTCAGGATCTTGCAGGGTCTCTTACTTCCTTAGACATGTACTTAATCGCTTTCTTTCTCTCTCTCCATGTATTTTCCTCTCACCTCTTTTCAATGCCCCTCTTTTCCTCCTCCCTGGTCATTCATCCCACTGTTTTTCTTTTTTGCCCTGTCTCCGCTTCCTGTCTGCTTCTCTCTCTGTCATCCTCGTCTGTTCCATCTTCCTCATCTCTTGCACTCATTTCTCTCTTCATTAGCTTACTGAATCCTTAGTCTATTTGGTTAATTTAATGTGCCCTCTGGGGATGTCACAGGCACTTCACCAGCATCTCAATTCAAATCCATCAGCTTGCTAGCCTTCCCAACTTAATTAAGAGATGTCTGAGCACATTCAATCCATACCAGAGGGCTAGGAAAGGCACTACCTCCAATCTCCAGTCATTTTGGGGGCTCAGGCTGCTTGAGCCTTTCCTTTGCCCTGAGAGTAAGAAGTGATAGGTAGGTCAGACACAAACAAGCAAGTGTGGGCACAGGCTTGACTTTCAGCCCAGTAGTTTGCAGGCAGCTCTGAGTCAGCCGTACACTTTATCCTAAGGACAGACTTGTGAGATGTAGAGAAATTGTGTGCCCTTATTTTATAGCTGGGAGACAGAGACTATGTCTACACTGTGATGTGCAGTGCCAATGTCAGAGGGGGCTAAGCACGCCTGTGACCAATCTGCATTGCTGGTTGGTAGCTCTGCTGCACTTTGCATTCAATAGTCCATGCTGTACGTCCACGTCTCAGATCTATGCCGCCAGTCTGAATGAGACCAAGATTCGCTCCATGTGTCTGCCCAGATCACAAAATAAGAGATTGCTGTGCTACTGAGATGCTGACTGTATTGAAGCTCTGAAGTCAAGGTGAAGTCTTGTCCTGAGCACAGTCTCAAGCAGCAAAGAGAAAAGCAGTGAGCCCAGTTCATGCAAGGCACTCAGATTTGTCCTGTGCTGTATCAGGATGAAGATACCGTGAGACCCAGAGTATCTTAAATTCCCTGTTTGAGGCAACACAGTGTCTGAGCCAGTATTTGAAGCCTCAGATGTCTGCATCCCACCCACATATCAAGCTTTAAACCAATTTTCAAAGCCCAGCTAGTTTCTGATACAAGGCTGTGACACCTTAATTTGATCCCAGAATTCAAAACTGCACTGGATGCTTCAGTACCAGAAAAATACTGGCAGGAGCTCAGTAGAGAGGAGAATGAAGAAGATGCTGGAGGGGTTGACTCATGGAAATAGATAAAAAAGAGCAAAGTATTTATCACATATCAGAGAGATGACTAAGGGCTGGAGCCCAGGACAATTTGGAAACTGCCCACTGATATTTTAGAGATGTGATCACCGAGCAGGGAGAGCCGTTGTTCATCCTGGTTTAATGGACACAGTGTGAATAATAGTTTGACAGAAGAATACTTGAGCTGGAGGTAGAGAATTCACTCTCATGTTCTGGCTATTGTATGTGAAGATTTAAGCCCTTCTAGGATGCCTCTGCTGTGTTTGTACAGCCCGCAGCAGAGTGGGATCTGCCTCTGCAGCCTTGGAGTTTCTAGAAGCAGGTCCTTAATGATAGTCCTTAAAACTGTACTGTCAGTTTTTATCCATAAGTAGCTGGGCAAAGCTTATGACCCTGCATGCTGTTTCTACCAGAAGAGCTGTCAGCCAAACTGATCATAACTGAAAAATGTGGTGCAGCCTTGTTTATTCAAAATGTGTATTGAATTCTGTTTTCCTGGTACAAGAAGACTAAAACATATTCAGACCATACCATGAATTTTGGGTTCTTTTCAGTCAGCAGTTAACTCAGAAGAACAGAGACATTTGCACCTCCCTTTGCTCTCCTTCAGTTTTTCTCAAATTGTGCCAACAGTACATCTTAGGCTGGTGCTTCCTTGCCTACTTTTTTCTCCTTCCTTTTTCTTTTTCCTGTTGTCTTTTCTCAGAGAAGACCGTTCTCTTTTCACAGAATGAAATCCAGCAAAGCCCCTCCACCCACCAGGATCTGTGATTTGCAGGGTGACACCACCTTGTGACTGAAGAAGCTTCTCTTGCTTTAGCTACTTCATCATAGGGATGTCTTCTGACCCAGGGCTAATGCCTGTAGAGACCTCTTGAGCTTTATTTTCTGGTACATGGGACATCACAAGTCCAGCCACTCTCTAGGGACATACCTGGCTGGGCAGCTCATGGCACGTGTGCCAGCACCTTGCCACTCCACTTTTTCATGGGCTATTCACCAGAAAGATGGCCAAGCACCCAAAACCATCAGGTTAAGGGCTGTGGCACAAGTTGCAGGCTTATAAACACAGGAACCCAAGGGACAGAGCACAAGCGTGAGCTTTGCCTGGTCTTGACCAACAGGCAGAAAGATGGGAATTTAAACTGTTTGTTATAATTCAGGGGTTTAATATTCACTGTGTTTTTCTTCCAGGAGACTAACCTCAACAATTCAAATAACTTTACTCATATTCAAATCACCTTGAAATCTGGCTTAATTTAGCATATTCATCCAGTCCTTCATCCTGTCCTGATTGTGTGGCCAAGGCAGTTTCCATCTGCATATATATTTCTTGTGAGGGAAATCAACTCATTTTAGGAGAAACTGCACTTCTATGAGTCATTTTTAATTCATGATCTTATAACAAGATATAATTTGTAAAGAGCTACGTTTATTCAACTCCACTAGTGTGCAATATACCATGTAATATTCTCAGTATTAGGCCTTCAGATATCGCTGAGATATTGCATAAGCCAAACCCCATCATTTCAAGCTTTGTCCTGCTTGAAATAGTTTTTGCAGTTCTTCAGATCTGCCTCTATTTGGAAATGTCTATTTTTAAAATCCAGTGTAGAAAATATTAGATTCTTGTGGCTGTCCAGAAGAATCCTTTTAAGAGGCTTATTTTTTTCTTAATATTCATGGTGGGTCTGGTGCTGCTGACTTTTCTCTCGTATTCAGCATGACGATGAAAAGCTTGTCCCAGCTGAATGTCCCAGACTGCCTTTTTCATAATGTATTTCTTGAATGGCCTGTTGGACTCAAGCCTCTCTGCTATTAGCAGCCACTTTAGAAACTGCTGAGTGACTTAGTTTATCTTCTCCAGTATCTACTTACAGTTTTCCTTTGTACATCAGATCAGTACTTTATGAGGTCTCTCTGTGTGGATTAGATGATGATCCCCTGTTTCCTAACTAGACCCATCCTGTGGATCAGTACCTTCATATCCTTTAGCCTGTGTGATTTCACTTTGTACCAGCATTTATTGCATTCACAAGTTCATATTTTACAGTTATTGCTTCTCTTTTTGTTATTTGCTCCTTGCCAGAAACATTCAGCAAATGTCCAAGCCAGCTCATCATACTGACATTTAGTGAGGAGGGAACAGTCTCCCTGGAGTGGTAGATGAAACCACGCTACTTCAGCCTTGTAGAACCAGAGTATAACAATCTTGTAATCCTGCATTGGTTGTGGGGTGGTGATGAAATTTATGTAAGCGTTGGTATGTTCCATGGCTGATTTCTATGGCTCTTCTAATTATTGCCAACGGACTTTAAAACTCTGAGTGAAAATAGACTGGCTGGAGAGATCTCTTTATGGAATATTTCTTTTTCATATTCTCATCGCAAAGGCCGTGGTGTGTAAGTTTGGTAGGGCTGGTCTGCATAGGTCACATGAATTACTCTTCAGTTTCTAAACAGTTGCAAATTTACTCCTGGTTAGAACAGACTTTTCCTGCAGGGGCTTCATGGTGATCTGTATCTTCTTAGCCTTTCCTATGATGCAAGAGTTTCTGTTTGCTGCTAGATAATGGACTAATTATATTTTCAGTCAAATCTGGCAAAAGAGCTCCAAAGTTAGTAAGAAATTGAGGAGAAAAAAGCTGAGCTGCTGCCCTCTATTGCCCCAGTTCTAGTTTCTGATCATGGGACAGGAGTTCTGAAGTAAATCTGAATCATATATTTTACTCTCAGTATTTGATCTACATTGTTAGAGATGAAGGATTTTACTCCACAAAGATATGAATTAGATACTTTAATGAATTTTGGAAAGAGATCCATACACAGGATAAATTAACCATTCTGGTTAAAACAGTGGCTCTGGGCATGCCTTGCCCCCTGGGATCTCTGCCCTTTCAAGCCACACTCCTTACCCCAATACTCAGCTCCCATAATTATGTTCAAGTTTCACTTCTAGTGTGATGGGTAAAGCAGTCTGTCCTGTCTTGGCAATGTGAACAGACTGCTTGTGGGAAGATTTCTGGTGTTCCTTTCTTTTTCTTGGACTAAAGTAGCCTTGAGTTCAGTTCTTTCCTTGGGGATGCTTCAATTTACAGTTTCTAGGTAAACCTGGGAGGAGGAAGGGTTTAGATGATGAATGCCTGAATGCTGTCTGTGGGAGCCTGGGAGACCTCACAATTGCAAGGGGACACAGCCACTGTGTTAAAGAGTCTGTGTGTTGGTAGGAAGAAAAGCGGAGAACCATTTTGCCCCTGTTTGCTTGTCCTCTTCATCAGGTTCACATTTCCCTGGCCAGAGAAGAGTCCCCTGCACCAGCCATGTGTCAGACACCCTCCTCATCCATTGTCACTGACAGCCACACCGTCCTAGGAGCAAGGACATTGCCACACAGAACACAACCCCTGGTGAACCCCACCCTGCAGCCTTGGCCCCCAGCTGATGGCTCTTTGCACTCTGTCAAATTAGCTATATCTCCAGAAACTGCTGCAATGCCATATCTGCCTTAGTGCCTCTCCATCTGGCTCCTCTCTATCACCTCCTTTTCCCCTGAGTTAATTTATTTTGTGTTAGTCTTTCTTTCCCAGCATTTACTTCTTTACTACACTATTTAAAACAACTCTTTCATTCTCTACTTCTTTGTGGGTGTTAGTGTGTTTAATTTCTTTCCAGCTTTGTTTTTTTTTTTTTAATTTCTCTTTTTCTGCTTTTATCTCTGCCCATCTCTTCTTTCTGTCTTTCTTTCTCTGCCCAGTCTTTCCTGTCTCTCTCTCTCTAGGAAGGATACTTAGCTGGGACTGATTATGATGATGGTCCATTAGAAACAGATTAACAGGTGAAGATTGACTAGAGAAACAGATGTCAAGGAGGGAAGGAAAGACAGAGGAACAGGTGACCTTTTCCACAAGCAAGATGCAAGCATGGTTTTTCAAACATCAGTTGTTCCCTACAAGAGCACGAGAGAATGTATGGAGAGCAGAGAGGAGGATAATCCACCATCATAACCTGTTGCTGTTTTTGCTTTGCTTATTTTCACTGACATAATGATTTGATTCAGACTGAAATTGGCATCTCAGTTTAACATATAGACCTCCTGTTCTCAGCAAGTGTTGTTACTGCTGCGTCTCGGTGAAGTGATCTTCATTTCTTCCTCCCCACATGCACTTGCTCATTCCTTCTCTCTCTCCTCTTATCTCCCCTCCTTTCTCCATCATTTTCAGAGTGGTTTTGTTATTCATATGTAACTATGGATGGAAATTGATCCATCTCCTCTTTTTTCATTTTAAAGACCTGGACTATTTTAATAAAAAGCTACAATGAGGAGTACAAGAAATTAACAAAGGGCATGGGAAGCCAATGATGTGAGAAGTTTCCAGTTCATTTGTTCACTTGGAAGGATCTTGGCCACTGTGGGCCTCAGAGCAGGGGTTAAAGCAGACCCCAGCTCCAGGCAGAGAGACCGAACCAGAACTGCATTCCTCCCTCACTTCCCTTTCCACCAGCTGTACAAGTAACAGGCATGACCCATGCAAAGGACACCCTTCAACAAAACAGCAATTTTGCAGACCATGGGGAGAGACCATGACTTCCCTTCTTCGTGGGCACTAATATTGATTGAATGCTAAAAATATTTGCTCTGACCTGCAGGGATTCACTTCTTCATTTCCACAGTGCCAGGAACGTCTCTCCTCTTGTGCTCTCTACAACAGGCATTTCCAGTTTTCTTGCTCCCATCCATTTTGTGTGATGCTTAAAAGAGTGGCTTGGTGGCCAGGCATAGCTCAGACCAATGCAAAGGAAGATGCACACTCTTTATTTTTCAACAGTCACCTCTGTCATTCTTGGATTTTTCACCTTGTGCACTTGCTTTTCTCCTCTTGCTGTCCATTTTTCTGTATCCTTCATCCTGTCCTTCTCTCCCTGTCCCTTACAGGCAGGTTTTAGCATTATGGTCCTCCTTGCTGTTGTCTTGTCTAGTTTGATATTTTCTTGGGTAATTATTGATACCACTCTGAGGATAGAGGCATAACACTGACGGAGCAAGACCAGGAAACCAATGCATACCAAGGGTTTGGTGGGGGAAGGGGGAGAGAAAAATGAGGAAGTGAAAAAATAGAGGGAAAAGGGGCAGTTTAATGAAGTGATGTTCAGAGGAAGATGGGGAACTGTCTTCCTGTCATTTAAATGTTTTCAAAATTTCAGGAAAAAAAAGAAGTGCCAGGAAAAAAAAAAGAAGTGCCAGCTACCTGTGGAAACCTCAGAGGAAGAAATTCTTGAAGGAACAGATTGACTGCAAATCAGCCAATTTTGGTCTCCTTCAAGAAATACTCCAGTTCTTTGCACAAAATACAGCAGCCTTTAGTCAGGGGAACGGGATATGGGGTGGGATGTAGGAGATGCTTGGTCAGCCTTGGCTGTGTGAATGGCTGTGAGGCTCCTGATCACCTGCAGAAAAAAATAGTTGTTAGGGATATAATCTATGATGAAGGTAGCAAATCTGCAAAGGAATTGGAGTGCAAGTGTTGCTATCCAGATCCACTACAGTCTCACCCACGGAAATTTGCAACTCCCTACAAACCCTGTTCCCCTGTTCCCTGGGAAGGGTAACACCTTTTTTCCCAAAATTTCAGGGCTCTTTCAGTTCTGACTCTCTGAATTTGCATTCTCTCTAGCCAGAGGAATTGACCAACATCTTGGAGATCAGCAATGTTGTCTTTACAAGCATGTTTGCCCTGGAGATGATCCTGAAACTTGCTGCTTTTGGTCTCTTTGACTACCTTCGCAACCCCTACAACATCTTTGACAGTATCATCGTCATCATCAGGTGACAAGGGCCTTGGGGATCAGCTGAAATACACATAGAAAAGAGTACCTGAGAGGAGCTGGGCTGATACACAAGGTCAGGGATTGGGAGACCAAGACATCTTTTCCCATTACTTGGTGTTGGTGCTATGCAAGCCACATAGCATTTCTATTCCTCAGTTCTCTCCTCTGTAGAGTTGAGGCAATTGTAACTGCCTTGTTAAGTTCACAACAAATATTAGCTGAAATATTTTGACAATGCACAAATTGAAGATGTTACAAAGGTTTAAAGTGTGATAGAAGAACTTGTCTTGCTGGAATTTAATGTTGAAGCCTTCTTTCAGTCCTGCAACATGTACTGCCATGTTCATGTTCTTAAGGCATAAATGCAGCTTTCAACATACAAGGATAAGCCTGTAGTTCATACTTCTGTCTTGCTCAGACAGATTTTCTTTCTCACCCCTTTTTTGTACTGGAAATGCCAAGGTGAAGACTTAGCGTTGTTATTCCTTGTTTTCTTTGGTTTGTTCACTTGTGCTTTGATTTGTCCCTCATACTCCCTGTGCCTCTCTGGACCACAGCATCTGGGAGATCATTGGCCAGGCAGACGGGGGCCTCTCTGTGTTGAGGACATTCCGACTCCTCCGGGTGCTGAAGCTGGTGCGTTTCATGCCAGCGCTGCGCCGCCAGCTTGTGGTGCTGATGAAGACTATGGACAACGTAGCCACCTTCTGCATGCTCCTCATGCTCTTCATCTTCATATTCAGGTGAGCAGGCAGTCAGCTTACAGTGTTCTGGAGTGGCACTGTGTGGCTCATGGGGACAGCAGCTTCAGAGCGTGACTGCATAACTCATCTTGCCCATTGCTCTAGGGCAAGGCAGCACTGACAAACATTTATGTTTTCATAAGGGCTGAACTTCCTCCTGCCTTAAATTGGCTTCAGCAGCTGAGGTTTTTGGCTTGGATGGGGCAGTAAAATAATACAAGCAAATACAGACATTGAGCATAATGTCCCATTGCAGGATAGGTGAAGTCTCCAGCTAACCAGCACTAGCTACAGGAACAGTTCAGTCTGGAGGCTGGCTCTGGCAGAAGAGCAGCAGGAAGCAACCAAGAAAGTTTGTCTGTGCATGCCAGGGATGCCCTGATAGCAAGATGAAAACATTTGAGAGCAAAAAGGACAACAGAGCGAACAGGTCTGACTGACAGGTTGGAGGGAATATATGATCTCTGAGTCAGCACAGATAGAAAACCAATTTTGTGGTGACCTACAGGGCTGCAATATGTAGTTCCTTCTTCACAGATAGCTCCCAGTGGTCTGACGCATTGTTGCACCCCTTGTTGCTGTGATGTTGCATTAGATTTTCAGGAGAAGAGAATTACTCTGATGAGTTCATTGTGGTACCAGAGATATTTATATTTGACATCATCTTGTTCCAAAGCATCCTGGGAATGCACATCTTTGGTTGCAAGTTCAGCCTCAGGACAGACACAGGAGATACAGTTCCTGACCGGAAGAATTTTGACTCCCTGCTGTGGGCCATTGTCACCGTCTTTCAGGTGAGCCCACTTTGCTCTCCATGGGTGGGTCAGGGCAAAGTGAAGAGGATCAGGTGCTTTTTCCTCACTGAGGAGCACTGCACTGACTCCTGAGAGCACAGAAGTTTGTGGAGGAAGAACAATTGCATATTGGAACCAAACGACTGGTGTGTATTTCAAACAGGGGACCTTCCTTCCTAGGAGACGATTGTGAAAATGTCAGTCCTGTTGTGGCAACTCCCAAGTTTAACACTCTCACCTCAGCACATGGCTATCCTAATGGTTGTTCTTGTTTCTTCTTGCTCAGCTAAAGTTTTTGGTGCAGTGCCACAGCTGGACAGTGGCAGTGGGTGTGTGGTTATGGGGGAGTTCAGAGGCCTGGTCTGCTCCTGATGTGTATTCTTTGACTGTGCTTTTCTGGGAATACCCTTCATGTGCTTCCTTCATGTTTTTTGACTTTCTTGTCCTCTCTTGCAGATCCTAACACAGGAGGACTGGAATGTTGTACTCTATAATGGCATGGCCTCCACCTCACCGTGGGCTTCCCTTTACTTTGTGGCTCTCATGACATTTGGCAATTATGTACTCTTTAATCTTCTGGTGGCCATTCTTGTGGAGGGATTCCAGGCTGAGGTGAGCTGCCACCAAGGCTTCATCAGGAGGAGGAATAGAGGTGCTAAAAAGAGATGCTTTGTGACACTTTGAGGATAGTGGGCTGGAGGACTTACAAAGTATCACACCTCTTTAATTTCACTCATGAAATGACCCTTGTTAGGGTAGGATTCAATTAAACAAAAGAAAAAATCCCAGTGTTAATCCTTGCAAGGAAAGAGGCTCTCTGGAAGGGATTCACAATTTCTGCTCTGTGTAACACAAAAAACCTACTTTAGGGTGAGCCCTTTACCCATCCAAAAGCAGCAGTGCAGTCTCTCAGCCATCCCAAATCTTTCCAGGGATCACACTGGATGCCTGACTGCCAAGGACAGTTTTGCAGTTGTTCCAGAAATGAAAGGCAAAAACAAATGATCTTTACTGTTTGAGTTTCCACTTCTATATTTGTGTGTTCCAGGGTGATGCCAACCGGTCATACTCAGATGAAGATCAGAGTTCTTCAAACATGGAAGAGTTTGATCAATTCCAAGAGGTCCAGGAAGGCTCAGGTACAATAGCTCAAACAGTATTATTTGCTTGTGTCCTACTGCTGTTTGGTGAGAAATCTAAATGCAGATTCTGCAGAAAATTTACTCCCACTTCTGAGAACTTGCCAATTCTTATTTTGAACTTTATGCCAGTTTGTGGTGTTATTTGTGGAAAAAACAGAGACATGTTGGCATCCTGAGGAATGTGGTAGCTAAGTGAAAGTTCTTGAATGACCTCCAGAACAGCAACTGGAAGTGAGAAGTGAGGCTGTCTCTGGTTATCTTCAGGGTCACCATTTCAGGAACACTGTATCCAAATCTGAAACCCACATTTGGAGAGGGGATACCAAGACAGTAAAAAGGACTCAGGCAAACCTGGAAGCTTTGCCTCATAGTGAGAGACTAATGAAGCTTAGAGAAATCAGGAAAGTTACTTCATCACTCTCTCTGTAGACCATAAGGAGGGAATTGTGGTGGTAGATAGCTCTTTAATTGAGCAGAAAAAAGCATAATGAGATTTTAAAGGTTGGAAGCTCAAGCTAGACAAATTCAGGCTGAAAAAAAGCTGTATATTTTTAAGGAGAGATAATTAACAGTGGGAACAACCTGAGTACAAGCCGCCTGGTAAGGTCTCTATCCCTCAAAGACTGAAAGTCTTTCTACAAGATGTATTATACTTCAAACAGGACTTGGTGGCAGGGAGCAGCAAGAGTCACTTGCTCTGCAATGGATGGTGAGCCACGAGTTGAAGGGGACAGAGAGCCAGGCAGGAGGGCAGGGGCCACACTGCACACTCTTGCACAAGGTGATGAGAGCAGGCCCACTGACACTAGTAAGGGTCTGCTAAAGGTTCAGTAATTACCAGGCAAGCCCACAGCGGCGAGGAAGGTCTGAGGTCAAGCCAAGAAGTCCAGTCGGCAAGATAAGATCAGGATCAGCACAGAACAAGGACAGGCACAAGCGTACTCACAGCACAACTCAGACAAGCACCACGGGCACATTTCTGAGCATAAATGCAGCTCCTGCAGCAGGGAACAGTGGCTCCAGTTTTTGGCTCACAATTTTTTCCTGTAATTTAGCTCTTTTCAAGGCAGTCCTATCTTGAGTTACATGGCTGCACCATATCAGAGCTTATGCTGAATGCAGGCAGTCAAACCCCTGAGATGACAGAGGAGGAAGAGGTTACAGAGGTGTTAGTGGACTCATGGCTGTCTGTCATGCAGACACAGATAGGTGACCTTGATTAATGAATAAGCCAAACAAAAGTGATTGGTCCAGTCCTTTCAGGCGTTAAAATTCAGTACCCTGTCCTCTCCATGCATCTTAAAAAATGCTCTTGGTCATCTACAGAACTTAAGATTTCCCTCAAAAGTGTCCTGGATCTTAAAGGTCAAGGATCAGTCGTTTGAAGAAGGGCAGTGTAGTAGGATAGACTGGGTTGCAGTTTTTGTATGCAGTATGATTGCAGGAATTTTAAGGTGATCTCAGTACATGTATGGCTGCGGCAGTCTCTACATCTCAGTCTCTTGCACAGTGTTTCAGCCTAACTGCTTTAAGTAGCCAATCTGACAGCTGGTGGAATTTGTTGAGACCTGAAGATGCTGGTGTCTGCTCTTGGCCTGCCAGAAGCATGCTCTTGTCCCCCTGTTCTCCTTCATGCTCTGCCTGTCAGTCTGAGGCTGCTTGATCACCACTCTGCTCATCTGTCTGTCCCCAAGGAGAGATGTGGTCAGTTTTGGAGGCTGAAGAAATGACTTTAAAGCCTTCGCAGCTTGCACTGCTTTTGTCACCACGCCCTAAATCAGATAAATTGATGTTGATTGATGGTAAAGGGCTAACAATCTGCAGCTGCTGCTAACTTGCTAGACAGCTTAGGCATCAAAGCAGTCACTGGGTCATGAGGAACCCCCCCTTTTTCCTTTCTTCATTCTTCTTTCTTCATTTTTTCCACTTAGATCCCAAACTCTGTGCAATTCCTGTGACACCTAATGGGCACCTGGACCCATCCTTGCCCTCTTCCAACCCACCAGTGGTTTCTGGGGGAGTCACCAACTCTTCACGCAACTCACTGCAACTTGACCAGATCCGTGTTGCTGTTGGCTCCCGGAAGAGCAGTGTGATATCCCTGGGGAGAATGACTTATGACCAGCGGTCCTTGGTGAGTGAGGGAGTATAAACCTGTGTCATACCCTTCTTCTGAAGGCCAAGCAGTTTGTTGGCTTTCTGCCATCATCTGGGCATTTCTGGGAAGGATTGCACTGCTGCTGTAGGCTTCTAGCACAACAGCATTGCCTGTCTTTAGAATCCAGATCAGTTCACATTATTTTTCTGAATTTCCAGATTTTTGAAGTCTGTTTCCAAGTTAGCTATCTATATTCCTTTGGGTTTGGGAGGGGGAGAACATCAAGAAGATAGTCTCACTCTTACAGTGGAACATGTTTTTCCCCCTTGCCTTTTCCTTGTTTTCTTAGAGTAAAGGACACAAAATGATGCCTTGAGTTGAGGTGATGCCAGAAGCACCAAGTTCCATTATGGATGGGATTGTATCAGCTTTTGTAACAGTGGAAATTTTGTCTTTGAGCTCCCATAGCAGATTCTGCTACCCCATAGCACTTCCCCAAGCACTGCAGGTTTTCTAGTCAGTTCATCTCAGGTCTGTCCACCTTGTAGCATCAGCTTCTGGGCTTTCTACCCACTGTCATACACAGCTCTGGGGAGTGCCTCCGTGCTTAAATGCCCCTGTTATTTCCAAACAGGGAGAGCTAGCAGCCACATACTACATGATACCTTGCTGATGTGGTTAGAGTAGACTGTAACAAGCCTGTTTCTCTCATTTCTCCCTTTTACTAAGACTGGACTCAAAGATGGCGTGTCAGATGATCCATCACCCTGTGCCTTGTGTTTTCCTTAACCCCAGCACAATGTAAAAAGCTGCCCATCAGATTTTTTGAGAGCTTTACTGTTGCTCTGTGCTGGTGTAAGTAACAGTATCAGGCACCTGGCCTTTGGCTTTATTACTTACCTTCCCTGAAAGTGCTTTGCACACAGATGGTGCTATAAAGTAATCCCAGTCAACACCATTGCTAACTCATTATCAATTCATTGTCAGATTTACCGAGATTGCTGCTGAATTCCCACCATGCAACTTGCTCAGTGTCTGATAAATGGCAGCCTTCTGGCACAGGGGCTCAGGGAGAAGTCTGTGATCTGAGAGAGGATCACAAGCACCCTCCTTGTGCCCTGAGCCACTGAGTCCCCATCCCACTCTCTTACAGTCCAGCTCCCGCAGTTCCCACTACGGCGCCTGGAGCCGCAGCGGAGCCTGGGGAAGCCGTCGCTCCAGCTGGAACAGCCTGGCCCGGGGACACAGCCTGAAACACAAACCTCCCTCAGCTGAGCATGAGTCCCTCCTGTCTGGGGAAACGCACAAGGCAGCAGATGGGGAGCCGGATCGGACAGGAAGGGTGTTTCATCACCGCCGGACACTCTCTCTGGATAACAAAGGCTCCTGTGACCTGCTGGAGTTGGCCTCACTCCCTTCTGGCCACAGAGTGACCCACAGGCTGGGAGCACCGCCTGGGGCCAGTGAGCATCAGGACTGCAATGGCAAAATGCCCAGCATTGTCAAGGAGATCTTCCCAAAGATGAACAACCACAAAGAACGGGGAGAGGATGATGATGAAATAGATTATGTGAGTACTTGGTGGAGGAGCCTGGAATTACATCACAGTGCTCTGGGAAACCTCAAATCTATCCTCAAATTTCAGTCTTCTTGCATGTGGATGGGAAGGCTTGCAAAGGTGCTTTAGGAAAGCTGGAGGACAGCACTGAATGCAGATAGGACCTTCTAGGCACAGAAAAGCTCACACCACATTGTCAGGCTGCCTGCAAGGCAGGTGTATGGTGGGAGGAAGGCAGATGTGAGATGTACATGTGGTCATTCAGGGGCTGTTATTTCAGAGCAGTGCAGCCAGTGATTTCTACAAGATAGGAGAGGTCCAGCTGTGCAACAGTGAGAGTTTTGCATGAGGAACATCAGCAGACCAGAGCAGGAAGCACAGGCACCACAGGCAAGGCAAGTGGGTTTTGTGGTATCAGCCTGGAGGACAGCAGATCTGTGAGCAGATCAAAGGGTGGAAAAAGTGGAGTGAGGGTCAGTAGAAATTTGAACAGATATAAATGTCTGTATGAAATTCTCAGCCCAAGTGCCAACAGAAAGCCTTCTTGTCCTGTCTTCTCATTTAGCTGAGGTAGGGAGGAAATATTGCCCTCATGTAACACAGTCCCTCCAACACCTCTAAGAAGGCATCGTGGGACAGTGTCCTACTCTAGAAGGGACACCAGTGGTTTTATTTTTCATGATTTGGGGAGGAAACCAGATGCCAAGAAGTAAACGAGCCCTGGCAAAGAAGCTTCTACCTTCTTTTCCATGACTTGTTGCCTTTGAGTTGATTTTCTCAGTTGAGGAATTAAAGAAAAGCAGGTAGTGGTGTGTTTGAGTCAGATGTGAAAGGAAGAATGTCTCTCTCAGGCAAGTGGGAAGGTGACCAGTGGCAATTGCTTCTGCTGCATCCCTGCAGAGCCTGTGCTTTCGCATCCGGAAGATGATGGAAGTCTATAAGCCAGACTGGTGTGAATTACGGGAAGACTGGTCCATATATCTCTTCTCTCCACAGAACAGGTTTGTGCAGTTTTTGCCATGAGAGGGTTGAGAAGATGGGGCAGATTCTCTTGCTCTGCTGGCTGCATCCCCTGATGTTAGGTGGCAAACTTACCAGCTAAGAATGTGTATTTTCTCCTCCGTTGTCCCTTCTACATTTCTCTTCCTAGATTCTGGCAATGAAAGGAAAATTGAGCATCCTAAATAGCTATTGTGATCTTCCTTCACTTTGGAGCATCCCATTTTTATTTTCTGTAATCATAAATATTTATAGCAAAGCAAGGCAGGGAATACTAATGTTAACACAAAGAGGATAAAAAATGTATTATTGATGACTCCATATACTGATATTTCCTCCCCTGGTACCAGAATAGCATCTTCATTTAATTTACAGTCCCAGTATCAACTTACCAGCATACTTTACCCTTACTTTAGGGTAAAGTTGGAATTCTTCCTGTTAAAGAGATCTCACCAGGAGAAAATGTCCACGTACCCCAGACAACAGTATTCTCACCCATGCATATTGCCCCTTGAAAAGAAAGGGCTTTCATTACAGGCCATGAGGGAGAGCTTTTTGCTCTGACACCTATGTTGATGTACACAATGTCTTTCAGAAGTGTGGCCCCCATGACTGCCACCCTACTTGCCTCTCCTCAGCTTTCAGCATGTGGTCTCTTTGCTGTGGGGTGGTACAAAGTGTGAGTTTGGGAGGAAAACTGCAATTCAGCCTTTTTAGAGGGCAAGAGAGGAGCACAGCGTCATAGTGTTTAGGAAACTACTCTGGCACTGGGGAAATCAGTGGAGGTTCAGCTCATTGCTCTGCCCTTGCTCTGCTCCAGGCTCCCTGTGTGACCACGTACCACCCTGGGCTACTGCTATTTCAAGGAACATCAGTATCAGACATGCTGCTGTATCAGAGCCCAGTTTTGGCCAGAACGCTTAATTCTGTGTCCCCTTTGCTACTAAACTTATTCTGCCCAAGGCACAGGTGCCTACTGGAACTCTTTTGCAGGTTTCGCCTCCTCTGCCAAACCGTCATTGCTCACAAGCTCTTTGACCACGTAGTGCTGGCCTTCATCTTCCTGAACTGCATCACGATTGCCCTGGAAAGACCTCAGATTGAACACAGAAGCACGGTGAGAACCATTACCTGTCACCCACTTTTTAGCACAACCTCTAACACTGGTGGTTCCTGAGTGCTCCTGGTACTGGTATGATCTCTGGAAGAACTTCAGCATTAAACACCAGCTCCAACTCATCTATTCAAATACCTAAATATTAGTAATTGACATGTGTGCTTCCCCTGCAGGCTCTTATAATGTATATAATGTAAAGTGGGGCAACCCACTTTATAATACAGAAAGTCTAGTTCCTTCTGCCTTGGAAAGTAAAAGTCTCCTCCAGAAACCTGCATATAAGAGATAAATGGCAAAAGGGACAATGACTGGGTACTGAAAGATTGAAGTAACTTCCATGCTGTAGGAATGGCACATCATCATTCATGTATGCTACTCCTGGGCTATCTTGGAGGTGGCTTCAGCTGGCAATGAAATTACTCATTCTGCTTGTCTGCCTTAGCTGGCTCCCAGACTCTGCTGCACTTGGACACAATCTGTGGTCTATGCTCAGCAGCTCTTCAGGAAGGAGTCCCAGGTCAGTGTAGCGGGTTAGGTCTGAGCAGCACTGACAGAAAAGGGCAGAAGGTGCCTTGAAACCAGATTTGCAGGATGTGAAAAAACCCCATCCACTCTTCTCTGCCAGAGCTGCACAGGATCCTGTCCCAGCCAAGGGACTATATGAACTGAAAGCTGCCTAGCACTGATCTCTGCAAAGGGCAGCTCCCTTATTTCATCAACTTTCAGACCCTTCACAGGAATGCAAAAATATCAAGATCATCAAAGGGGCCTGACAGAGTAACAAGAAGTAGTCAAAATACATTTAAGATCTTTCTCTGTTTTGTTTTTTGTTTTGTTTTATTTTTTCTAGGAAAGAATCTTTCTCACTGTGTCCAACTACATTTTCACAGCAATCTTTGTAGCTGAGATGACACTGAAGGTAAGTTACTGGAGATGAACAGCTCAGAGCCTTTTTCTAGTGTCAAACACTGTTCATGTCTGCTCAGCACCCTTTTAAAATCTGCTCATCTTCTCAGTGCAGCAATCCTTCCCTCTACCTTTATAAAGGCAGATGTTGCCTGGGGTTCAGTCCTGTCTTGCTAGGCATAGAGATGTTTATTGTAGGCATTAGATCCAGTTGAATCTTAGTATTCATGAAGGATAGCTGGCATTCAAGTATGGATTTTGTAATGATGTCAAATGTCCATTCCGTTTCTCCTGGAGCAAGAATGGGGGACATTACAATATTTATGACATGCTCAAAGTTGAGATAATTATTCCATAGATGTAAAAGTACTTTGCAAAAATCAGAAAACCTTGTTACTACCTTCTCATGTTTGGGAAAAAGTTCTAAATCTGTGTGCTGGAAATTAAACCCCTAAAATTAATATCTGAATTTTGACCATGATTTGCAGGATGTTAATATCTTCCCATGGCCATCAATTTCTGTAGCACTCACTGTTTTTGAGAACTGCTGACAAACAAATTACCCCTTTAAGAGCCAAAGTATGGATTTAGTGCCTGACTTTACCTCCAAGGTGATTTCTGAACTGGGAGACTTTCCCCGAAGTCTTGTGTGGCAGGGAAAGGTTTCCTGTGGCTCCCCTACAGTGCCATGTTACTCAGGAAGGCAGAAAAAAAGGTGTTTTCCTTTATAGACACCCAGGTGAAAGGAAAAGATTATGAGATGACAACTTCAGTGTCACAAGGAATTGATAACTATTCCTTCTCCTCCCATTCTCTCCAAAGTTGCTCTCTACCAGGTAACATAGGAGCCATTTCACGCTCTCTTCTCTCCCCTCTCTCCCAGGTGGTCTCTCTAGGCCTATATTTTGGGGACCAAGCTTATCTCCGCAGCAGCTGGAACATCTTGGATGGCTTCTTGGTCTTTGTGTCTCTCATTGACATTGTGGTCTCAGTGGCCTCTGCTGGTGGTGCCAAAATCCTGGGGGTGCTGCGAGTGCTCCGGTTGCTGCGCACACTACGTCCCCTCCGGTCAGAACCCCACCGAACCCTGCTCGGCCCCCTCTTCCCACTGGTTATCCCCAGGAGGGGTCCCAGGGTCACATCCAGCTGTGCCTGGCAAAGTGTAGATTTTCCACTTACAAGCAATAAGCCACAAGGAGGTCCTCCTTAGCCATATGGGTCTGATGCTGGAGATACCTCATCAAACAAAAAATCTATGGGAGAGAAAAGGATTTTTGATCACAGGGGAGGGATCTCCGCTGAGGGGTCTCTGCACAGGGAGACAGGGGTCTGCTGCTGCTGCTGAAAATGCTTAGCTTAGGCCAAACATCCCCACCCTGTCCCTCTGTCATCCTTCCCCTTGTTTCCTTTCCAGAGTCATCAGTCGAGCCCCTGGTCTGAAGCTGGTGGTGGAGACACTTATTTCTTCCCTCAAGCCCATAGGAAACATTGTCCTCATCTGCTGTGCTTTCTTCATCATCTTTGGCATCCTGGGAGTGCAGGTAGGTTGTTACTGTCCATCAAACAGCCCTGGAGCCCTATTGCCATGGACACCTGTGCCCCAGGTCCTGTAGCAGACACAGGGAGCCAAGCAGAGCAGGAGAGACAGGGAAGCTGGTGAATTCTCTGTGTTTGCCCTCTTCCATAAGTCATTTCCACAATGACACAGCCTTTGGCAAGCACAGACAGGTGCTCAGCAAGCGCAGGCATTGCTGGATGTGAGAGACAGGAGTTAATGCTCACACCTGGCAGCAGCTGGGTCAGGGTTTGGGCTAGTGCCATAGGGAGAGCCCAGGGCTGACACAGAGCTCACAGGACCCATCCATGTCACCCCACAAGGGCAAGCAGTTCAGTGCCTGCTCACATGAACCCTGCCTCCAGTCAGCTCTCTTTCTCCCCCTCACTCTGAGCCCTAAATCCACCCACAAACTTCTTTAATTTTTTTATTTAATCCTCTTTATTTTTGGCTGTTGCATTGCAGAGGAGCAAGGGTGTGGGTGTTACTTCCATCTCAGGGAATGCGCTATACTTAGTTTGCTCTGATGCATCTGTACAAATGCACAATCCAGTACCTTCCATATGGGGAAAGGAGCCCTGGGCAGAAGAGTCACAGCAGTGCAGTGCAGCTTTGTGAATAAATATATATGAGAAGAAGAGGATGTTTTTTTCTGGTTCTTTACCCTCAGATGAGATCCCATCAGCACTCTCAGTAACCGGGAAGCAGGGAGGGAAGATTACTCTAGGGGACTGATTAGAAGATACTTTTTCACTTTGTACCCAGAAAGGCTGCCTTAAGGGCTGTCAGATGGTGGGCTTGCAGTCACTGCTGACCTGGGGCAATAGAGGAGGTTGAAAAGCCAAGTGTGAGCTCACAAGGGTGGTCCTGGCTCCTTTGCAATGGCTGAGTCTGTGCTCTACATTGTGTTGGTGGTGTCCCTGTCGTGCTCTATGTGGCTTGCAGTCTTGCAGGCCATGCAGCATCTTGGCAACTTCTGTACATCCCAGGGAGCATGGGAAACCCTGTGGGGAACCCTGTGGGGAAAGTGACCCTGATGGAATCACTCCCCTCCTGCAGCTTTTCAAGGGCAAGTTCTACCACTGCCTGGGGGTTGACATCAGGAACATCACCAACCGCTCCGACTGCGTGGCAGCCAACTACAAGTGGGTGCACCACAAGTACAACTTTGACAACCTGGGACAGGTGAGTTTGCCCACAGCCCCTCCCTCTGATGGGGACCCAGCAAGGGGTTTGTCTCCTCCCCAGGGAACAGATGCAGTACCTGGAAAGCCAATGACTGGGCCAGAAGGAGCAGTTATTTGGCATGGGTGTCCATGCAGAAGCTGTGTCACTAGAGGGTTGGTATCAGAATGACACTTACAGGATGAGTGGGAAAGAAAAGTGGTGGCAGCAGAGAGCCTGATTTTCTCTCTTCTCCTGCCATGAAGCAGATGTTCTTCACAACCTCTCTCCTCTGGTGGATCTGGCTGCATATGGCTTCCTGTCACCCCCTCCATGTCCTCCACTGGGGAAGGAGCAGGTTTTGATGTGTGCAGAGACACAGGAAGAGTATTTCAGTGCTGTGTGTGTTAGAGCATAAACCCACAGTATTTTTTTTTTCTGCCTGCCAGATGCATCGTCTCCACATCAGATTTTCTTTATGTGTTGCAGGCTCTGATGTCCCTCTTTGTTTTGGCTTCCAAGGATGGCTGGGTCAATATTATGTACAATGGACTTGATGCTGTGGCTGTTGACCAGCAGGTACATGGACTTTCTTGTGAAAAGACCTTTTCACTTTCCTTGTGCTCATAAGGCAGAAACATCTTTTAACATCCTGCTTCAGATACCTCCCTCACACCAAGAGTTCCTTCCAGGCTCCTTCTGAATGCTTTGCTCACCTATTTGCAAGAGATCAGGTCCATGGTATTTTCTAGTCCATGCAGGGAGGTGTAGCCGTGGCTATGCTGTGGGGTCAGTGGGCCTTTACCTATTTGTAATGAAAAAGCAATAATGCCATGTGTCTCTCTGGCTCCCTCCTGGCCCACACATCATTATTTCAATACCTTGTAAAGCAGAATCTCTTGGGCTGCCGCCCATTGCATCCCTATTCCTCTACTGCTAAGACAATGGCTGCCTCTGTTCTTCTCCCACTCCAGCCAGTGACGAACAACAACCCCTGGATGCTACTCTACTTCATCTCCTTTCTCCTCATCGTCAGTTTCTTTGTGCTCAACATGTTTGTGGGGGTGGTGGTGGAGAACTTCCACAAGTGCCGGCAGCACCAGGAGGCTGAGGAGGCGCGCCGGCGGGAGGAGAAGCGCCTGCGACGCTTGGAGAAGAAGCGAAGGAGTAAGGCACAGCCTAAGTGTTTGGTTGGTTCGTAGGCCAAGGTTTTCTGAGAAAAACCTTTTCCTCTTCTTTTTCTTTCCCAATGGGCTGGTCTCCAAAATCCATCACTCGTGGCCGTGCTCTCAGCCTTCCTCTCTGCACCACTGCTGTGTCACCACACACCTCACTGTGGCGGTCTAGGGAAGAGGGGTGGCTGAGGAGGTCTGCTGGGACTCCAGGGAAGGCACTGGGGAAGGGTTTTAGCACCCTGCTCCTCAGGAGATGATGTACCAAAAACACCCCTGTGCACATGCTGACAGGCACTGTTGGCATGGGACGTGCACACATCGGTATGCTTCCTGTGCTTGGGGTAGAGCCCCACCTGGGCTTCCTGCAGCTCAGCTGGTGGTTGAAGAAGAACCTGGACAGACTATTCTTTATGTTTAAACCCAAATTTAAAGAAGAAGGGGGAAAAAAAAGAGGAAGACCCCTGTGTTTTGTGTCCCAGTGACCCCAGTGTTTGTAGTGTCACTCCTTGGGATCTTAAATCCTCTGTGTTGAAGGAAACCTTCTATTCCTGGTGTTTCTGTCCTGTTTTGTCTTACCTTTAGATAAAAATTGCTAAAGCATACTTGCTCCTGGAAATCATCCCTACTACCCAGACTTCTATTCACAGCCTATGGGCATGCTTTCCCTTCCTCTGCTTCAGTTTTCCCCTTCTCTCTTATAACACCCCAGGGCCTCTCCTTGAACCATCTGCTCCTTTTATCATAAGTGATCTTAATTTGTCAAGACATGAAATGCTGATTTAGCACCATTCCCACAAACACAGTCTAACAGATTTTCTTTCTAGCATTCTGTTCTTTGTCTTTTTCCCTACATATTTTTCCCCATTTCTTCTTTCCTTCCTTTTTTTAAAATTTTTCCCCCTCCTCCTCTTGTCCTTTATCTATACCTATTCTTTTCTGATTTTTCTCTCTCCTAACTGCATTCCATTTTCTTTCAATACCTATCACCAATCTTGTGCCTTCTCCCTCCTCAGTGTTTCTTACCCATTTCTCTCTTTTCTTCTAATTTCTTCCTAACCCTGCCCATATCCCTCTTTCCACTGAAGAGGCGCAGCGTTTGCCGTACTATGCTACCTACTGCCACATACGCCTCCTTATCCATTCGGTCTGCACCAGCCACTATCTGGACATCTTCATCACTTTCATCATCTGCCTCAACGTGGTCACTATGTCCTTGGAGCACTACAACCAACCTGTGGTGAGTGAGATCATGGAGATAAGTCGTGCCTCCAGATATTGTCATTTTGGTACAGCTCTCTGGTGACCACTGCCCACCAGCATAAGTAGGACGCTTGGGTGTCTCTAAAAACTAGTGTTGAAGTTTTGTAGGAAGTAGTTTTGTAGTAGGGAAATTTGTGTGAATATTTTCACGTGTATCCAGAAAGGTAGTTCCTACTCAGACATTTGTTATCCATTAAAATCAATAGAGAGAAGGTATCTGAGCAAGAGTCAAGCCCCTAGAAAGCATGGTACAATTAAATCACTGTGCTTTCTATCAGTAAGTGGATATGTGGGTCACCCAAATTTAGCTGCCTGCTCTGCTTTTTATGTTCCCCTGGATCCTAATAGGGGTGGTGGAAGCAGCAGTGTTCTGGGAACTTCAGGCTTTGCATCAGATTTCCAAATGTCAGCCCAATTCCCCTGCCATATGGCCTCAGCTGAGAGAACCAGAGTGGCTGGTTATATGTCATGGGATGGGCCACCTTTATCAAGCCACCTTTTTTTCATAAGAGAAGCTGCAGGGCCCAAGTGCTGAGCAGAGCCTCTCTCAGCTGCAGGGTGTGACTCCAAATACAGCACCTTCGAGGCCAAATGTTTTACACTTTGCTTGGGTACAGACCATGTACCTCTCAGTGTTCCTGGCAAAGATGCAGATGCCTTTGGTGGGAAACATGTATGCTGCACATATCAAAGAAACCTTCTTCCTCCATATGTAGACAAAGCATTCATCATGACATCTGCCCAGTGACATTTCAGTTTTCTCTTCAGAAGACCCTTGGTTTATGTGACAGCTCTGGTTTCTGAACAGATTGTCAGAGGTAGCTCAGGTTTGATCAGGAGCTGAATCTGTCTGTTCTCATTCAAATCTTTTGCCTGGCTCCTCTGTTTCCTGCCCACCTAGCCCAACTGCCCAGCTTTCATCTTGCCCTAGATGGTGCCCAGCTTTATATTTCAGGAAGTCTCAACCTTTATCTGTTGGCATTCTCACATCAGATCTTTGTCCCTCAACAAGTCACTCTTCTTTCTTTCTTACTCTTCAGCTCCTTTCCCTGGAACACAGCTCCAGCCAAGCCAGCCTGCTGTCAGGCTCTGTTAAACAAGCTTCTCAAAGCACTTCAAACCCTTCCAGTACAAAATTCCACCGAAAGCTTCCCACTGCTCACAATGGTTCCTGGTGGTCATGAAGGGGCAGCACGTAAAAAACCCAGAAGCCAAACAGCTCAGAGATGTGATGTGCTGGCCCCAGACCAAGGCACAGCAGGGGTTTCCTCTGGTCAGAGATTACCTGAATCCACCACCAGAGTAACCCCTGTGCTTCACTCCTGGTTGATAGCTGTGCCAGTGCCCTTGGCAAGGTATCATTCAGGTGGCATAGGCTACTGGCAGAAGAAAAGCCTGATGGCATATCATGGATTCTCTTGCAATGGCCTCCTCCTCCCAGTCATGCCAAACAGTACAGGAGAAAGGAGCAGTAACTGATCCTGGGAAGAGCAAGGGTCAGAGGGGCTGGCTGGTGGTTGCCCTTAGTAGGCAACCTCCATATTTAAGTAGGTAAGAAGCATGGGGCAGCTTCCCTCCCGCCCAAAGTGAATACCTGGGGCAGCTTCCGCATGCCAGGATGAATTCCAGGCACTTAGGAGAGTCCCCACACAGGGGGTTATGTGTTGGATGTTGCTTTTGCTTCAATTCTTTTCCCTCTCTTTCTGTGGCAGTCCCTGGAGACCGCCCTCAAGTACTGCAACTACCTGTTCACCACTGTCTTTGTGTTTGAGGCAGTCCTCAAGCTGGTGGCATTTGGTCTGCGACGATTCTTCAAGGACAGGTGAGCAGAGGGTTGTCAGCTGTGGCTGTGGGACAGCTGGGTTTGGGGTAGAGGTTTGGGGATGGTGCCCTATCTAGACAATGAAGTGGTGGCAGAGTGCTCTGACTGCCTCGCAGTTCTGCACAGCATGGACCTAACCTCATCCTTCACAAGCTGCAATGCCTAGGCAATAGCAAGAGTTGTCCAAAAATTGCCTCTTGGTTAGAGTCTGCTGGTTAGGCAAGAAAGTAAAGGAGGTGAGGTTAGAGAGAGACATTTTTTTCCTGCCCTGAAGGCAAACTGTGAGCATGCTGAAGCAGAACATATATAGCAATGTTGATTCAAGGTAGTAAGGCCGTAAAAAGCTGAGCCCATTAGTCAAAGCATAGCACCATAGTAACACAGCTCCATGCTTTCAAATCAGGCTGGCTTGCCTCTGGCTGCACAGGGTGTGTGCAAAGTGAATCTCTGTTTCTCTGGAAAAGCCCATATAGGCTGACTCAGAGTGGGTCTTGAACTCATACATAAGGAAATGTTGAGGCTAAAGAGAAAAGGTACTTGGAGACAAGTACCTTTCTTTCACGGGAAAATGGAAAAATTCTATCTTAGTTTATTCTCTTCAATTTTTCTTCTGAAGGTGGAACCAGCTAGATCTGGCGATTGTGCTGCTGTCTGTCATGGGCATCACATTGGAAGAGATTGAAATCAACGCTGCTCTCCCAATTAATCCCACTATCATCCGGATCATGAGAGTGCTGCGTATTGCCCGGGGTGAGAGAGACGCTGGCCAGAGCAGGGGTGTATGTGGCCATGGAGTGCAGCTTGGTGCCATGACTCATTGAGCAGTGGCTGTAGAGTCATGAGCTTGCCCTGTCCCCAGCCCTCAAGGAGCCTCTGGGGTGTCTTTCATCGCATCCCAGCAGGGATTCTAGGATCTAGGGCACCCTAGAAGCTCAGGCTTTCTGGTTCCCTGGGAGGTGAAGCAGTGGCAGGGTGGGCAGATCATGTGAGAGCTGAACTTTCTCTGTTACTCATTTTTGGGGCAACTACAGTAGTGGTGTGGGGAGCAGAGACCAATAAGCAGGTTGAAATTTGCACAGGTAAGGTGGTGGCCAAGGTGTGCCAAGATGGCATAACAGTGATGGCTGAAGGAAAAGAGAGTGATGGAAGGAAAAATCAAAGCAGATGGACAATTAGGATACACATTCCTGGGAAAAAGGATGTGGCTAGAGTGTCTGGGTGAAGCATGAAGAATAGACGTGGGTGGCAGAAGCAAAATATTTAGTAAAAAGGATAAAAACTTGATAAGGAACAACTGGGGTTGTACCATCAAAAGTAAGAAGAGGAATGAGGGGAAAGTCCAGTTTTTCTAGGGCAAGGAGAGACAAGATACCTGTCTGGTGCTACTGTCATTAGTAAGTCACACAAAGAATGCCTCTGAGCGCAGTCTGACTGACACTTTTCTTGTGCTTGTTGTGGCAGTCCTGAAGCTCCTGAAGATGGCCACAGGAATGCGAGCACTGCTGGATACAGTTGTTCAAGCTCTGCCACAGGTAAAACATCTTCCCAAAACACTCTCCTCTTCTTTCCCTTTTTCCAAAGGGTTGATTCTTGTGGAGTCTCAGAGGTGGTGTCTACTGTGGTGTGCAGGCAACTGCCTGAAGGTCATGTCCAAGTTCTCATGTCATTCATGGGGTTACAACTCACCTTGCATCTCTCTTCTCCAGCATGAGCAAGAAACGAGGCTTGACCCCTGGAAAAGGGTAGATTTCTTTCCATCATGTCTAGCTAGTGTCTAACTGTTTGCAATTAGTCCATGGCTCCTTTTTTTATTCCTCTCTCCATAGAAGGGAAGAGTGATTGGAAGCTATTTCAGGAGGAAAGGAAATCTTTCTGTCACTGCACCGCTCACTCTTCCCTGAATGTACCCCCTTTTCCCTCCTTCCCTTCCATTTGCACTCTCATCACTCCTTTTCTTAGCTAGTGCTTCCCCCTTCCTATTTTTTCTTCTTTTCTCCTCCTGGATCCCTTTGTGTTTCTGTGTCTCTCATGCATGAGCAGCAGTGACACGCTCTGTTGTGGCTCACACAGCCGGCAGTTAAGTGTCTGCCGCAAGACATGATGGAGACAGAAGGATCTCATGAGCTGTGAGTGGCAGCTGCTCCCAAACGAGATGCTGACACGGTGCTTTACACAGGCTCCAAGCCCACTGTGAGCATCCTCTGTGATGGATGAGCAGTCAGGGAGTCTGGTCCCCTTCCTTTGGATTGTTGAGGGAGAATTGTTAAGCAAGGAGTAATGGCACCAAGTGGCTCTGCGGATCATACATCAGACCAGTCCCTTGGCAGGCCCTGAGAAGGCAACTCTATTGCGTGATATCAAAATGCACCAGCATTTGTCAGTTGATTTATCAGCTAATGTGCCAGTGCTGGTGAGTGATGATGAGCTGGGAATCAATTTGAAAACAGCATGAGTAGTTACTCAGGGAATTTGCTTCTGGTGTTGGTGACAATAAATGTCAATCTGAATTACGGGAATATGATGGCACAAAAGGGAAAAGGAAACTCTGTGATATTTTATGGATCCCAAGCTCGGTCTGATCTCCCATGTTTTTTATTAAACAACAATTATTTGTGGTTTATTATAATAATAGTAATAACAAAAATATTAATAATTCATGTGTAGGATATGCAACATGATTCAGGATAGTTGTGGGCTGAGATACACTGGGCAATAGAAGGAAGGGGAGATGAAGGATGTTCTTAGTGCAGGCAGACCTGAAATGTAAATTTCTTTTAGTTCTGGCTGCTGCCACAGAATGGATCAGTGCAGCTTCTTTGCGCCTTGCTCTTTTCCATTTCAAGAGCCACAACAGATGAATTTTCTCAGACAAGGATCTGGGACAGAGCAGGTCTTCAGATCCAGCGTCTGCATGTCTGTGGCATGTTTATTCAGAAACCCAGAGAAATGCACACAGATATTAAGAGCTGGATTAAATAGTATCCAGAAACTTTTGGTGAGAGGACTCTGCAATATATTTGCACTTAGATTATGAGATTCAACTTCTACCCCCAATATAATAAATTATAATAATAAATAAGAGAGGAGGAAATATTCATATCTCTGTCATGTAGACAGAGGAACTTGAGCCATCAGACAGTTATGTGTTTTGCTCAAGACAGCAAAGAGCAGAGCCAGGACCTGTGAGTCTCTGCTTCTGGTCCTAGCCACAAACTACAAGTATAGTCTTCCACACTTTCTCATTTCTGATTTTTCTGTCTCTCATTTGCCTATGGCTCCTTTGCTAACCAAGTTTGTGATCCAGCTCTCTTGGAGGTCAGTAATACCTGCCTCAAAGCAAACAGATGTCTGAAAGTTTGGTCTGTAGGTATCCCCTGGAAGATAATAACAAGCAGAACTTAATCCCTTCAACATCAAAGCCTGTGACTTCCTATTGACTGGCTTTTGCTAGTTCCTGTAACAGGTTGGCTTTGTTCAATAAAGTTGTGTAGCAGGGATAAAAAAAATCCCTCCATACTTACAGCTGTGTAAAAATCTGAACTTAAAGGTCTAAAACCCACCAATTTCAGCATTAAAAGAATGAATCTAGTGTCCGTATTTTACACACCGAGTCTTCGGGGGACAATTGAATTAACTGTAATATTATTCTCCAAGATTTATTGGCTTTGCCAAAAGTAGTTTAAAATAAGTTGTCCTCTCCCTTGTACTTTATCCTCGTCCTGACCTTTCTCTTTTTGTTCCTAGAGCAGAGACTCAAATCAGGGATTTTGGCTCGCTAATGGCATACAAAACATCTCCAGTTGTCCTGTTTCAATTCCCCTCCTGTCTTTGTTACACTGTAGCAATTCTTAATAGTGAATAGAGCTTTAATTTTAACAAGCCTTTTTGAAATGTAGTCCTTAGCTAAGTTTTATTAACTTCCTCTTCTTAACGCCCTGTAGACACAGACCCAGCACTGTGTTTTCACAGCATTTACTATGGTGTCTAATTTAGTCATCAGAAATAATTCCTTCCAGTGAGTATGTAGGGAGCCAGGATGTGGCAGTCCAGGGGAGTGGGTGGGCTGAATCATTTATTTCTCTGCTGAATTTGGATGGCACAGCAGTTGCAATGACTAAATTAGATTCCTGAAGTGATGATCCTAACGTAGGCCCAGTGACCACATGCATTCAGACCAGAAACTGTTTAGTGTTTCAAAAAACCTGTTAAGTCCTTAATTTTTCCATGCCTTCTCTTCCCACTTGCCTGTTCCTTCCCCAACCCTGATGGCAACTGGAGCCATCACTGAACATTTCCCAAGTGTTGAGCAATTGTTTTGGTTGCATTTGTACACTGGGATTTCACTGCTGTTCTCTTCAGACTTGGAAATGCAGAAATGCTTTCTGTACAGATGAAATAGGCTTTGGGGTAGGCTGACAGTGCTGTTTGCTTTCAGGTGGGAAACCTTGGACTCCTTTTCATGCTCCTCTTTTTCATCTACGCTGCTCTGGGAGTGGAGCTCTTTGGAAAACTGGGTAAGTCTCAAGCAGACCATGCTTCAGTCAAGAGACACATGTTGGTTGGGGTTTCTCAAAATCAGAACTCCTCAATAAAGGGACTGAATTATTTGATGGATTTTATTCTCCCTTATGCATAATTGACGTAATAGGAATTTCCCTCTAAATTGTTGTCCTAACAGCCTAACAAAGTAAAAGCAGACTCTATATTCTCTTACATTCTTAAATATTTGCTTTTCCTGCCCTCTGTCCCTCACATTGCCTTCAAGACTACAAGAAAAAGTTTGTGAAAGTTTATTTACATCTCTTGCCATGGAATATTGATCAAGAAGAAAGACGCAGGGAGGATCCTCCTGAGCAACAGAGTTACACTGCCTGATATCCTGGGGCTGGGCCATCAGGGATTTTTCCATATTGATGGCAAACTGTTGGGCAGGGTGCTGATACCATTCATTACCTGAGGTCTTCAGGCTGTGAGTTCATGTTGCTGGTCTCAGGGCTGGTAGTGTGTCCTCCTCTGAAGACACACAAGTCCTCTTGTTTTTCAGTGTGCAACGATGAGAACCCCTGTGAAGGCATGAGCCGCCACGCCACCTTCGAGAACTTTGGGATGGCCTTCCTCACACTTTTCCAGGTGTCCACAGGAGACAACTGGAATGGGATCATGAAGGTAACTGGGACTTGGAGGAAAGGATATCCTACTTGCGGGGAAAGACAAACTCTGATGCGTGGATCTGTTCAGCAGAGCTTGGGCTAGCAAAGGGAAGGGCAACAGAACACAGAAACTGGGTTGCTAGATAAGACCCCTGCTTGGTGCAGAGCCTGTCTCCCTACCATGGTAACTCACACCTTGGGCTCATCTAGTCCTGGAGACATTTGATTGAGAAAAGGGCCAATTTTCCTTGGGTGGAACAAGAAAATCATTTAGGGTAAGAGGGAATATCCACTGTAGTCAGGACTGTTGTCAAAGCTGAGCACAGGACATGTGTGTTGGACATAGCACTCACCTGCAGAGCTACCAGGAAAATACAAATTAAATACTTCCTTTGGAGGACATGGAGAAGGGAAAGTCCTTTCATCACATACGGTGCTTTTGAGAATAGAAGGGAGAAAGCAGTACCAGCCTGCTCATTTTTGGTCTTGTTCATGTGTGGGGCTACGGTGGCAGCAACATGTCATGGTCTGAAGGTTTCCTTCATATACCTTTGGATGATTTTTCTCTGAAGCAAACAGCGTATGAACAGGGAGTGTCCCAGATTCTTTGGGGACCTCATTATGCCAAAAGGTATGGGGTGATAGAATTGTTTGCCTTGTTTTTTCCTCTGGCATCAGTGTTTTTTGACAGAGAGAACAGCCAAGCTTCTGTTCTTACTTTAGTCTTTCCTTCCTTCCATCATTCCCTCTCAATCCCAACTTCCCCTCAAGGATACCTTGCGTGACTGCAGCCACGATGACCGGAGCTGTCTCAGCAACCTGCAGTTCATCTCCCCACTGTACTTTGTCAGCTTTGTGCTCACAGCCCAGTTTGTCCTCATCAACGTGGTGGTAGCTGTGCTCATGAAACATCTTGACGACAGCAACAAGGAGGCCCAGGAGGATGCAGAGATGGATGCTGAGCTTGAGATGGAAATTACTCATGGGCTATGCTCCCACAAGTCAGGCTCTCCAAATTCAGGACAGGGAAAAGGAGCAGGAACAGGAGGAGGTGGTGGTAGAACAGATCCTGAAGGACATCTGTGCATGAGATGTTACTCTCCAGCCCAGGTGAGTACACCATTGAATTTACTAACCAGACTGCAGCAAGGAGCTGTGGGCATTAACTGGGTAATTCAGATGATTGAGGGCTTAGCAATAGCAGAGTCTTCCACCTCAGGGTGAAAGGTTTGCTTTCAGCAGTAGACTTTTGAGTTGATAGGATCATGTAGGGACAAGGCTATGACAGCAGTGTGTCCTGTTCATTGTCATCACGGTGTAGGAACCTGAGGGCCAGCAGAGGAGGGATGGAGCAGATCAGCTAAAGGTGTGACAGGAGCAAATTTGAGAGGGGAGCTCAGGAGAAGAGTGCAGGAGAAATTGCAGATCGAGAGTGAGTGACTCCAGCAGAGCTGGAAGGGAGACATGAGCACTGAAAGTGAGTGAAGACTGTCCCTTCTTATTTTTTATTTTTTTTTCATTGAACTCTGGCACCTATACACACCCTGTGGCGCAAATGTTCCCCTCAGTGATCCTGTGCAAGTACCTGCAGAACAAGATGCTGCTCCAGATGAGTCAGGGTGGAGACCCCAGCCCCAAATTCACATGAAACTTGAAAGCAAAAAACTCGACATTCTTAAAATGATCTCTCCCATCCTCCCCCCTTTCTTGTCCCCTAGGAGAACTTATGGCTGGACAGTGTCTCTTTAATTATTAAGGACTCCTTCGACGGGGAGTTAATGATCATCGATAACCTATCGGGCTCCGTCTTCCATCATTACTCCTCGCCGGCCATGTGCGAGAAGTGTAACCATGACAAGCAAGAGGTAACCTGCGTACGAGGATGTGTGAGGGGACTCTTCCCCCCAGACCTGCACACCCACACCCACGTGCCCGCAGGTCGTCCCATGTATGCTCCTCACTGTAGATTGTGTAGACAGTAGAGCTTGTTGACCTGTGTTTGTTATCTGTTGTGAAGTGCCAGTACTGCCTCTAGCACAGGCCTGCCCTCCTCAGCCACACGTGGATGTTTGAGGTGGTGGAAAAGTGAGACGTGACAGGACACGGGTCAGGAGGGGCTGAATGACCTGTAGAGAAATGGCTATGAAGGCATCCTTGGCAGCTCTTGTTGTGTTCAATTCTGCAAGAAAAGTCTAGGTTTAGGCTCACGTTGGACAGAGGATTCTAAGGATCTCACCCCAGTGAGACCGCTCAGGAGCAATTCAGTGGGAGATTTAAGCTTGTGTTTTGTCCTCATTTTAAGCATGTGCTTGCTTATTCCCTATTGAGGTTGATCAATTAAGCACATGTTTAAATGCTTCGTTGAATAGAGTCATGTCTGTGAGCAAGGATTGGTTTGTGGTGAAAACCAGTTAATTAGTTTGAGCAAAAACTAAATAAAAGCGGGCCCACCAAGAAAGTTTGTTAGCTGACAATTGGGTTGTTGCTAAGAGCAGGACTAAATGGCTTAGACTTGAGCTACTAAAGTTGCTTTGGAAAACTCCTTCCTAAGCAATTAGTCTTTTCAGGTTGTGAAACTTGAGGAGCAAAATAGTCTGGGAAGGGTTAGGTGAGTAGCAGAACTAATTTAGTTCTGAAGGAATTTTATTGTGTGTAGGTGCTCTGATTTTGTGTGGCCAGACTTGTAGCAGTAGTGTGGCTCTTCTGCTAGTCAATTGTATGCCAGTGGCAAACTTCACCCTTCCTTCCCCATAACTGACTCGATACGTTATAGCTTATAAAGAACAAGGAAACTTGGGGAAAGAGCTCTTATTGGCAGATCATTCTATTCATATTTGAAGAAAGCAATATTTTGTTTGGTCTCAAATGCCTAGTTCTGATGCTCTGGTATTTTTTCAGTTTCTCAGCTGTCTGCTTTTCCCCGCTGCTTCCTTTTGAAAGTATTAAAATGCAAACATTGCTGTAGTTTATCGTTATAGAGACACTTCACAAATGAATTCTGCATTAATGCAACCAAATAACTACTTTTCCATTAACTGCAATTTCCATTGCTTTACTTAAGTTTTTATGTTCAGCAATTGGTGCTCAGCTTTCTCAGCAAGTGAGATCTCCTAAGGCATTCCAGAGTGATTGCCCCCAAGTTAAGTCATTTGTAGCTAGTTTGCTGCATTTGAAAACCTCACAGATAGTCTTCAGTTTCCCCGCCTACGAATTAAGACAACAACCCATTTTCTTACCTTTCCAGTGAAGAAACTAGATGGCAAAATCTTCAAATGCAACCCACAGCCAGAGCGAAGAATTTGATGTAATTATCACAACTGAGGAATTATTCTTAGATCATACTTTCTAATGGCTGTTATAGAACCATAAATTAGTTTCAAAATCGGTATTTTAATACATCTAAAATGTGGAACTGAAAAGAAATTATCTCTGCAAGAATGAATTTAGTAATAAAATACAGATGTTTTATTTTGTATCATATGAGTCAAAACTATACCTTAGGATCTTAAGCCAGGATTGATCATGACCTTCTCTTCATATTTCAAAACAGGAAAAGAAATTGAGGAAATTTAAATAATAAATCACAATATGGAGTCATAGCTAACATCAGCAATGCACACAGTTATTAAATTAGAGTGTCCTCTGGTACGTCAACATATCCAAATGAGTATTGTACACAGACTGAATTGTACAGTCCCAGAAACAGCTGACAGCAATTTACATAGGCAAAACTATTTATCTAGTCTTCTTAACTGCCTGTGTGTTAGGAAAAAAACAGTATGCTTGCTGTCCGCCCTATCAGCCTTAAACTGCCGTTCTGACAAAAATCACATATTAGGCAAAACTGTCCCCTCCAATTTCATCGGTATTTTAATTCACTGAGATGCTGAGCACAGTGGATGGACACAACATTTAAATGTATGCTCAAACTCATTAATGTGTTATTATAATTAATATTAAGCTTTTTGTGGCATTGAGCAGAAGCACTCAGTGCCTTTCCCAATTACTCTCCCGATATTTTATTTTCAAACCAATTATTTGTACAATTAAGGATTTTTGTAATTGTGAGTCTGTTTTTAAAGATATATCTGCAAGTAGTTGTTTAGGGATATGTGTGTATGGTTCAGTATCTCAGGCTGATGTTCCTGGCAGGTTTCATGGATTGGGATCTAGTGAACAGCCCCTTCTCCCCTCTGCAATTTAAAATATTTTTTTTGCTCCTCATCTTTAGTCAGCAGATTTTAAAATATTCTGCCATAGCGGAAGCAAAAAGAATGAAACCTCATTTTTTCAAGGTGCTAAATTCTTCTCTTGTCATTTCTATCCTTTCACTCTTGGGATGGTTGACAGACTTCTGTATATGGATGACTGAAGTGCGTTTAGCCATGGTAGGAGTTTGTCAGTGAGCACCAGTGAAATGTGCTTCCACACCTGAAGTTGATTTAGTTGTGACTTTGTTGATTGTGGATTTAGATCCCAGGTTGGTCAGAATTTTCAAGCAAGTGGTTCAGTGACAAACAGACTGTTCTGGCATTTGCTGAAATCCTTTTTTATGGATAGAAAAGGTAGGCACAGATGTTGCCACATGTCATGCTGTTGTCTCTATAAGCACAGCAGTAAGGCTGTTTTGGTGTAGCAAGTACTTGGGAGAGTAATAGATAAGTATTAAGTCCCACACACATTAAGTGGGACTGAATGAAGACTTCCTGCTTCTCTACAGGAGTGGTTGCTGACTGGTGGCTGTGTAGCATCCCCGGCTCACTGAGGGCTCTCTGTGCGTTCGTGCTCTGAGGAGCAGTTGCTGGTTTTGGGCTTTCTCCATGGTTGAACAGCACCATGATCCTCTGTCAGAATAGTATCTCAAATAAGGATGTCATTTTTGCACTTTATTTAAATCCAGGTCCGGTTTCCCATTCTGTTTGTTTAAAGTGCATTATCCCGATGGAGACCTCTTCCAGTCTCTGGCATTGGCACAAGTCACTAAACTTCCAGCTCGAAAGTCAACTCTCCAAATGTTTCACCTGCTGTCATGGCGCAAGAGCTGTACCTGCCTCTTGCAAACACAAACACATGGCCAGAAGCTGTCCCGACTGAGACAACCCAGAATACAGCTCTCAAGAGTTAGCTGCTGGTGGTGCAAACCTATGGCATTCTAGAGATCAGTGATGGAAATCAAAGCACAGGAGGGACAGAGTAACTGCTTAAGCTGGTAGAAAAAGATGCTTTTCAAGCACTGTGAGAAAGAGTTGTCAGGCAGAGGGGCTTGGAGGAAAGAGGATGGGAGAGAGGGGCACATGCAGTATGAAGCAAGGTCAGGCATGGGACTGGAGCAGAGCTGAAGCACAAGAATGAGAGAGATGCAGTGGTCAGATTTGCTTTCAGAAAGCAAGAGAGCTCAAGTGTGGGTGTGTGGGAGGGCTGAGTTTAGAGATAGAGAACAGAACAGAAGACAAGTGTTAGATAAGATCTTGGTTAAGTTAGAGGAGAGGGGAAAGGCAAGATGTAGGAAAGCTGGAGAGAAACAGGGTTTCAGTAATGAAGGTAAGAGAATATGAAAAGCATGATATTGGCATGGACTGCAAAAGGCATGACTTTTCCTGGAATGAAAGCACCTTCATGTTTAAGCAGGGCTGTCTGTGGTGCCTTCAGAAAGGGGGATTCTCTCCTCATCGCTCAGCAGAGCTGGCTGCCCTGTCACCAGCCTGAGGGACCCCTCTGCCTGCCTGGCTTTACTTGCAGGGCCTTGGGCCAGCTGTATCTCTGTGACAGATACAGGACTCATTCTTCCAATTCTGGCACTAGGGGAGCATGGACTGGTAGCAGCCTGCTTGCAATCGTATATTCAACCTTTTTTAAAAAGTGAATTCTCCTGCCCAGCCCAGGTCTGGGTTAGGCAGTTCCTGATATATCCAAGGAATATAACCTAAAACTGATCTTGGGTCTACAGGCTCTCACTTATCCACCATCAACAGTGTGACTGCTTGAAATGCGGATTCCAGGCATGACCTGTGATAGCTCCTTTCCCTTCCTGCAGGTCCAGCTGGCTGAAATGGAAGCGTTATCCCTCAACTCAGACAAGTCCTCTTCCATCCTTCTAGGAGATGAGTCAGACAATCGAAATACTGCTCAGCTGAATCCTAAGGAGATCAAGGTTAGCCTCAGAGAGCCATGGGTATCTTACACTATGTGCTGTACTTATGCCCTTGCTCGTTTCAGGTGCTCTGTATTCATCCAGGTGTCCCTGCTGAGGAATATAATTCTGGTCATTGTTCAAGAGCTTCTCCAGAGAGCCATACTGTGGAGTAGGATTTGAGGAGAACAAAAGAATATGTGTATTTGAAAGTTCTCTTCACTGCTGTTAGTAACTTCCTCTGAATTAGTCAAAAGGTGATTTGGGCTGAAAAATTGAGCATCTCTTAGCTAGATTGAAGTTATTGTCAGAATCGGTTCTTCTTGAGGCTTTGAAAAGTCTGCTCTATCATCTTCCATTAAATTTCAGAAGGCTTTGTCCTCACTTATTTTTTCCAGCAGGATGGCCAGGACAACCCTGACTCCACTGGGGCAGACAATCTGGAGGAATGCCTGCTTCCAGCATCCAGTGAGGATGGCTCTGCAAACCCAGACAGTTACCTGTGTGAAATGGAGAATACTTCTTTCAACTCCGTTCAATCTTGGCTAAAGCATGAAAGTACCAAAGGTGAGCAGGGCTCTTATTCTGCAGGTCTGCTGAAAATGTGGTTTGGTTCAGCTCTGGTTTTCCCCTGCTTTCCCTCTGCCAGGTGGAGAGTTAATGTGACTTGGGGTTACACCAACCAAGAATTAGTTTTCAGTTTGCTAATTTGCTTCAGGAATGGGGGGAGGAGGAGGAGCAGTTCCTTCATTTTTGTTGCTAGTTTTTATATCTTCCCTCAGAATGACTCTGTGAAATATTGTGGAAGCGCTGGTCCCCATTTGCAGTAGTGCAGACATGCACAGTCAGAAAAGAGTGGGGACAGATTCTCCTGACATGCCAGCTGGATGAACTGTGCTCACTCAGCACAGGAAAACACTGCTGCCCCCTGAGACCAAATAAAGGTTCAGGGAACATGTAACACATGTCTGCCCTTGGTGGAAGTGCTCCAGTTCTACTCTTGAGTGTGCCCTGTTCTCCTGTGGTCCCGAGCTTTCCCAAACCACCACTTAATTTATCTCCCTTCATCCCTTGCCTTGCAGGATTTGGGATGAATGTCCTCTGGCAGTGATACATACTTGAATCAAGGCATTAGAGCTCAGCATTCTTCTGTGACAGCAACAGCAGAGCTGGCCTGTTACCATATGGCTCTGAGCTGTGTTAGGTCTTCCTGGTCTGGTGCAGGTTTTTGTGAAAAAAGTGGGATCCTTAATCTGAACACCAGACTGAGGCTTCTTAGCCAGGAGTACATGTTCCTGAATATCCTTTGTTCACTGGACCTGAGACTTGGCTCAGTGTAACAGCAGCAAAGGCACAAAATAAAATCGGAGGACTCTTATTAAACTTTTTTTTTTCTTCTATTTCTTTTCCCCTCCCCTTTCTTTTGATGCTCTGTCAGTCCCTCCCAGCCCCTTCTCTCCAGGTGCATCTTCCCCTCTGTTACCCGTACCAACAGAATTTTTCCACCCAGCCATCTCTGCCACCCAAACAGGGCCTGAGGAAGTCTCGTGTCCACACAACCTTCCAAAGATCTCCCTGCAAGGCTCGTGGGCATCACTGAGATCTCCAGGTGTGAACTGCTCACTTCTCCATCAGGTGAGGAACCCCGCTTCTGTCTGCTAGGAAAAGTCAATTTTCACATCCCACCCAACCAGAGGGGGCTGAACGAGGAGGAGGCAGCTCTGGTCATGGGCTGGGTAACCTGAATCTGTAGGAGGAGCACAGTGGACTCCAGAATGCAGGAGGGTAGGGGAGGAGAGAGGGTAACATAACAAAGTGGTGTAGCTCTCACCCCGTGAAGTCGTTTGTTCTTCTGCTTTTGATCAACAGTTTGTCAGCTGCAGTGGGCCCCACATGAAGAGGAAATTACATCACTCTGTAGCTCCTCCCTGGGTCTCTGGCATTGGGTGTGCTGCAGACATCTGCATGCGCAGCAGCCATGCTGTGGGCAGGGAGGTGACAGCTGCACATCCTCCTCAGGTCTTCTTAAGATTGTGACTCCAAATCATGCACCTTCTTGTTGGAATAGGCTTCTTCCCACCTGCATCCTCCACATCTCTTAGTGCCTCTTCCACACACTGTGTCCCTAAGCTCACTGTTTTGCCCTGCCCACTAAACAAACCCTTGAATCCCAGAAAGGTGCCATCTCTCTATGAAAAGACAGCTATTTCTCACTAACAAAAGAGAAAAATAAAAGCACTGGAGGGAGATCAGCTGTTTCTGAAGTGCAGAAGATGCAGAGATGAAAGTAGAGATCCCAGCTACTGTTCTTGGAAGACGCTCCATGAGCAGGGGCACTCTATTCCAGACAAACTAAAAAAATAAAATCAGACGTTATCCATCTGTATATAACAGACACTGTAGGTACGATACAAATGTGTATAAATTCACCAAGGATAAACTGAGCCTTGGACTGAGACTGAGTTGTTGCAGTTTTGAAACTTCTGGTTTAAGTTAAGACACAGAAAGGTAGAGCCCTGGAGCTGGCACACCACTGGGGCAAAAGTACTGAATTATTGTAAAGGAGATACTAGTAAACTTCTGATTATTTGACAAAGAACTGTACTGAATTACTGTGGAGACTGCCTCAGGAGACTGCTTCCAGTCCTACATGCATCTTTCCCAGTGCAGTGTCCCAGTGATGATTGCACAGTGCAGACCAATTTCCTAGAAACAACTGAAATGCAGCTTAACTAGATGAGCCCTGATACAAGGAAATTAAGGCTGTTTCATCTTCCTGCTGGAAGGGGACCCCACCTTTCTACCCTAAATGAAAGAGTAGTTGCTGCTAGTGCTGGTCAAAAGAACCATGGGGCCTCTTTTCTCTCCCCAGATATTGCTGATTTTTTTAATGTGAGGAGGTCTGTACAAATTCCTTGATTCCTGGCCCGCTGATGTGAGTGTCCATATAAACCTGTGTGGCAGGTTCATAGGGAAGCCATGAGGGAGGACCCACAGGGAACCTTTGCTCTGCTGCCTCCTGGGCCATCAGTGCCCGGGGAGAGTGTAGTGGTGGGTGCTGCAGGGCTCACAGACCCGGCATCCCTTGAAATGGAGCACTTCACGCGGGAGGGGTAAATTCGTCCTGAAGCAGAATGAAATTAGCTCAAAATATAGAAACATTCCCTCCTCCTTACACAGAAGGAAATCGCCACGGCAGGCCGCATGGCTGGTGCTTTGTAGCATTGTTTGGTTTACGGCTCCCTCCCCCAGCAGAGAAGAGTGAGAGAGGAATGGAGTTTTTCCCCTTTCTGTAGTCGCGGCTTATTTTCACCCCCCAAAGCACCCCCAAAAACCAATAAGGCAGAGTCTCTTGCCCACTGCCCATGTCCCTCCTGACACCTGTGTTTCCGTGCTCCCGCTCCCCAGCCCCCCGAGAGCGACCCGTCTCTGGACAGCGGCAGCAGCAGCTCGGCCGGCAGCCTGCAGACCACGCTGGAGGACAACAGCCTCAACCTCAGCGACTCTCCGCAGTGTGCCCTGGACCTGCCGGTGGCTCTGTGCCCCGTGCCGGCGGCGGGCAGCCAAAGACCCCTGGCAGCCCCCCTGTCCCCCGCCTCCCGCCGCCGGAGCCTGCGGGGCCGGGGGCTCTTCAGCCTGCGGAGCCTGTGCCGCCACCAGCGCAGCCACAGCAGCGGCGGCAGCACCAGCCCCGGCTGCACCCACCACGACTCCATGGACCCTTCGGATGAGGAGGGGGCGGGCAGCAGCCTGCGCGGGGGTGGCAACAACAGCGAGCCCTCGGAGACGCTCAGCAGCCTCTCGCTGACCTCGCTCTTCTCGCCGCCCCCGGCGGCGCTGACCCTGGTGAAGAAGTGCAGCAGCACCAGCAGCCTCCAGGCCAGCCCCTCGCCCCGCCGCCCCGCCGCCCACCACGCCAAGCCCTTCTACACCGTCGACCCTCGGGGCTTCCTCTCGATGCCCTCCTGGGTGACGGACTTCTGCAAGGACACCCCCTCGCCCAGGGAAGGAGAGGCGCCAGACGGCCCCGGCAGACTGGGGACAGGGGACCGCAGCTCCCCGCTCCCTTCCGAGCTGGAGCTGGGCGACGGAGTCAGCAAGAGGAACAGATGAGGGTCCCTGAGGCGCAGGGAGGGAGCATTCGGCCGCCGGCATGGGGAGCATGTTTCACTAGCTTCTCCCTGGCAGCAATTCCAAAGGATTTGCAAGAAAAAGAAAACAGGCAAACAAAAATTTATAAATATATATATATACGTAAATATATATATATATACATATATATATATAATAAATATTCTGGTACCGTACCTCAGAGGTGTGGGAGAGTGCAAGCAATACGTGAACAGTCCTGCCTGAGGGCAAGACCTGGACCATCACCCCAGAGACTATAGTGACAAGAAAAGGCCATGGGGCTGGCAGGGACAGGACCCTCCAGCCAGGTGACTGCTATGTGGCAGCTGTTTAGTCCTATACATATACATATATAGAGAGATCGATTTATTTATTTTTTTTACTGAGAGATTATGAATTTCAGAAAGTGCTAAGGAGGAACAAGAGAATGGGGGGGGGGGGCGGTGCTGAAGGAGCTGCTACACCAAACCATGAGGGTGGGGTGAAGGGAAGCAGGGTGAGCAGCAAGGGAAGAACATCTGACGCTTGTCTTGTGTGTTTCTGCAAGCTTTTTTATTGTCCATGTTTCCATTTCCAAGGTTAAAAATCGTGGGCCGGATCTTCAGGGTGAGCATAAATTGGCAAAACATGCTGTTGATGTAAAGCAGCAGAGTTTTGGCTTGAGGTGAATTCATGCTGATTTACAGCAGGTGAAAATCTGGCCCCAGCAACAGTGAGAAGCAAATATCCATGGACCACAGGGAAACGTTTTGAGGTGAAAAGCCTTGCTTTGAAGGGAATGTGTGAACACAGCGGGCACGCTCATGGAAGGAGGGATAGGAGGCTACATGGCTTTTTTTGTTGCTATTTTGTTGGGTTTGGGGTGTTTTTTCATTTTCCAAAGAAAGAAAACTACAAAGGGTAAAAAATTACAAGGCTCGTGGGGATATTTGGAGTGGGAGAGGTAGGGTGGAAGGGAAGGGGGAGGTAAAAAGGGGAGAGGAAATTGAACTTTTCCCCCTTTTATTTGCAGTAATTGTGATATTATATTTTAGAAGCCCAAAGGTGCAAAAATTATCCCTAGAGAAACCTATCTGTTATTTTTGTATCTATAGCTATATATATTAAAAGAATTCAAAACCTAGAATATTCAAAAAAGACATAAAAGCGAAGGGGGCTTCAACAACACAAAATGCAGTCAGTCCCTTGGCTGAAGCCTAACCCTGTTCCAAGTTCCAGTGAGAAGAACCTGCAAGAACATCCTCAGCTCGGTGGTGGTTCTGTCTCCTCTCTAGCATCATCCTCTGGCATTTTCCTGGTTTGCATCGGTGTACCTGAGACCAGAGTCCTAATCAGTGCCAGCCACGGACATGGAGGGCAGTGAATATTGATTGGAGACCTGTGTGTGTGTGTGTGTGTGTGTGCGCGCCATTGTAAGGATGCTGATGTGTGCTGTGTCCAGGCCAAGTGGTTCACTAGCTGGAGAGATGGGTGAGAAGGACAAGGAGAACTGCAGCTCTCCTTGTCTCTGCCTTGCAGGGCAGTGGGAGTGGGGAGGATTGCAGAGGGTGAGGGCAGAATGACCCCTCAATCCATGACCTGCCTCAGGATCCAGGATTCTGTCCAGCACCATTCTCTCCCAACGTGGTTGCAACGAGGCTTCCAGAGGCTGCATCCCTCCTTGCTTTTCCAGTGGTACAACTGCACAAGTCTCCTTCCTGGCAGGGCCAGCCTGGATCTCCTCCTGCAGCAACTCCAAGGTTTTGTACCCTTCCCAGATTTGCAAACGGGTAGGAAAACCAGCCACCCAAGGGGAACAAAGGATTTTGGATGTCATGTACCACCCCAGGGATGTTCCACTCAGATGTGTCAGAGAAGACAGAATGGGAAGGGCAGAAGGGAGATGATAGCAGCCTAATGGAGACAGGAATGTTTAGAGCACTGAGGAGAAGGAGCAGGGCTCCCTGTCCCATTTTTCCCATCAGACCAAGAGGGCCTCTGCAGTCCTCATAGAGGTCTCCCAGCTGGCATATGAAGCATTGTGAAGAGGGCAGCACAAAAGATGATCTGATTTGATTGTGACCTGTCTGACTTTAAAGCAGCTGCTGCCTTTTACAAACCAAGGTTGTAAACAGTGAGCACATCACTTGGGACCAGCAGCCAGGAAAAGGATAATTACTGTGTGGAGTTAATTCATTTGCTCTGTTGTAAGCACTCATGCTGACTGCAGGGAGGTCAGACCTGTCAGTAGAGGACAGGAGAGCCTGGGTCCTTGTCTTTGCAGAAAGGATGCAAGTACAGATTCATTAAAGCAATAATAAGGGTCTTTAAATGCTTTCTTTGCACGGATAGTTCTTTGGGTGAGTTGCCCCTGCTCGCTGTCCTGTGGGCAGAGAGGAGGGACATGACACATGGTTTCACATCCTCAGGGAAGGAAGTCCATCCCTAAATGGCTGAACAATGAACTTGGGTTGCACGAGGCTTTGACCCAAACCCAGAGCTGCTTTGAAGCCAGAGGTAGGGCTTACCAAAAAACCCAAAGAGTTGAAACCCATCCAAACCCCAGACACTTCAATGCATAGAGTGCTCCCTGGAAGTTTGCCGTAAAGGAACTCGAAGGTGGGACTCCAAGCTGTCCTGGCAGTTGTATGGGCTGTGAAATGTTTCAACTGAGCAACAGGAGAAACATCAGAGATTGGTGGAGTGCTAGAAATGAAACAATATTTGATCATGAGAGAAGTATGGCTTGCACTTGGGATAGTTGGGAGGGAAGAAGGGTAGAAAGATGGTGATGGTGACCTCATGGGGTGACTACCACGCCTTGGATGGGTACCTCTAGGCTTATTCCCAGTTGTCCCTGGCAGTGACATCTTTGCTTCTCCTGTGGTTTGGAATTTATGGCAGTCCTGCTCTGCAGGATATCTCCCTTTCACCTCCCAGCAGGGTCATGCCATCTCACCAACCTCCTGGCAAAAGGGCTTTCACCCTCTGCTGTATGACTGGAGCAAAAGGCTTCTGGCTTAGGAAGGAGGTTGCCATGGAAACAAAAGACTACGTTATGCATAAAGACTATTTTGTGTCTCTCTTAATTAATTACTGTTTCAAGAAGAAGCAGGAAACATCTATCCTTCCCAAGGAGGAGGCAGAACACTAAACCCCAGCAAGTTTGCACAAAGCAAACTTTGTGTTTTTGCTGGGAATTTCTGCAGTATTTCAGGTTGTGCAGTTTCTACTGTCAAGAGCTGCATTTCCCAGCTATGTCTGGCTTTAGGCAAGTGGAAAAACCTCTGTCATCACCCGCCCACCTCCCAGACAACACCTGAGGACAGCTTAGGATTTGCCCTGGCATCTATTCAGCCTCTAATACTCCCCACTTCCCACAAGGGACTGTACCGCAGGCAGTTCCTGCCATGGTGCTCTCTGCTGTCCTTAGCCCGATATTGCTCTGCTTTGTCCTGCTGCCACACTACCCTTGTGCCCAGCTCTCCCCCACATCTGCCACTGGAAGCAGTCCCTCTCCCTCCTCCACGCTGAGTCCAAGGCGTGTTTAACTCCTTTCACCCTGGCCCATCAGGTGGTTCCTCTACCTCTTTTTAATATTTTTCTAGACTTTTTTTCTTTCTAAGGCCCCCCTGTAAATTTTCCTCTCACTGTGAGCTCTGGGCCTATTGATATTGTTCATTGCAGCTGCAGAGCAGAGCCCATCCCTCGTGCTTCCCACCTTCCCTTGAATGTGGAATCCCCAACTGTTCCAAGCTGCCCATTGAAAACACACCTACATTTGTTATTTTTTCAGAACCCAGAGACTCTGACTCAGCACAGCTAAATGAGTGATGCTTACCACTAGGAGTACTTCTCATGACTTCTATATCTTCATCTGTCTTCCTTACTACTACCAAAAGTTCACTTTGAAATTAGGTATAGAGGAATCAGTTGCCAACGTGACCACAGTTTTCTTTCAAGGAAATGTGGCAGGGTGGTTTATTTGGGCTTTTGGGGAGTTTTTTGTGTTGTTTTGAATGTTTTTGTGAGGCCCATGTGAAGGACTGCACACCACCTGCCCTCTGTGAAATTCTTATGAGCTGAGCAGAACTTGGTGGGAGGGGAGGAACTGAAAACATTATTGAGCAAGAAAATAATTTTTCGGATAGAAGAAACATAAAGCAGAAAACCATGAAGTGTTTCAAGAAATTTTGTACTTTTCCCACCAAAATGACTCTCACATCCAAAATGCTCCCAAAGAGCATCACAGAAGTATTGTGGCCTGCTTGGCCTCTGGTGACTGAATCCTAAAGACCCCAGGCCAGTTGTCCACCTGACAGGGCACTGAAGATGGGTCCCCAGGCAGTGAGGTGCCTGCAGGAAATATGCCCTGCACACCCACCGTACCAGGAGAGCAAACATTCTAACACTGGATCAGAAGAAGAGATTTATTTTTAGTCAGTGTAACTAAAAACTCAACATTTATTATGGAAGATATGGAGGTAAGTGGCTTTGGTTCACTTGGGTTCATCACAAGAATTCCACAGAGAAGGAAAAAATTAAACCCTGTGAATTTTTAAACTAGCTGTGACACAAAACACAGTGTACCTTGTAGGAAGAGCTTGGTAGCTTGCAAAGTCAGGCACTTGGATGTCTGCCACCCAGTTCAATTTATCTATATGTGACCTGACTTTCCAAGTATCCCCTTCCCTGCTCTTCACAAATACTTTATGAGATCTGCCTTGCTTCTCCTATTCTCCACGTTATTTTTGTTCCTTGCTAGGGACTGGTTTCCAGTCGGAACTCACTATATCTTTGAGTTATCACTCATTTCTTCCATCTCATTTAGATATATATATATAGGGATATATATATATATATATAATTTTTTTTTTCTTCTCTAGCACTTTTTCCTTCTTCTGCATATTTCCAAGCCCCTGTTTACATTTAGTAAGATCCTGTCACTCAGGAGCTGGAGCTGGCAATCTGCTATCCAATATTTATGCCTCCCAGCCACTTCT